CATATTGATATTAGTAAATCGACGGACGAGTGTAAAAAACAGACACGTTTTTCTTTAGATATAACGAGAAGCCTATAGATGCGTTGTATACGACAACGAAGTATAGGCAAAAGAAAATTTGATGTTTATCTTTATCCTGATTAATCATTATTTAGAATAAAAAAAAAGTGGATTTGAATAAAAATATTTATTCTAGAAAAAAAATTACAAAAATTAAAAAAATATTTTTTATTAAAAAGAATATGTAAAAAAATATTTAAAATTCTGATCCCCAAAGAGAACGTATTATTCGAGCATTATCTCTTTTAAGTTGAGGACCAAATAATGGTTTCCATTGATGTAGATAAAAGCATAACCAACTAAAAATAAAGAAAGAATATTCTTTTATTTTTGCCTCTATAGATGAAATAAATATTTAACATACAATAACCAACAACAAGCAGATGTTAATGTTAGCATGACTTGAATAAGACTAAAATATAATTTCAATTAAAATATTTAATAATAGTTTAAAAAAAAATTTTACCGTTTATTTTGTCCTTTAGGAATTAAAAATGGCAAAACAATTCCAATTAAACCCCAAAAAACAGTAAATATAATAAGAGTAATGGCAAATTTTTCCATTTTTCAAACAAGAAATAAATTATCTAAAAGAAGACAATATAAAACTAAATAATTACATATACAGGTTAGATAAGGTCATCTATCTACACAGAACAAAAAAAAAGTACATCAAATATGACTGAATTATTTTGCATAAATTAAATAAAACAGGTAATCATTATGCCATGAGAAATAAATATGGTTTTTGCTCATTGGAATCTTTTATCGCATACAATTAATATTTGGAAATGAATGTTTACAAAAATATGATTTCATTTTCATCTACCTTATAAAATCAATTCCATATACATAAATAAATTTAAAAATAAGAAAAAGACACGTAAATCAATTGACTAGAAAAATTGTTACATAGATCTTTCATTGCAATAAGAAGACAAAAAGAAGAAGAAGAAAAAGGCCAACGTCACTTTACACAACGATAAAAAGAAAAGAAACGAAGCAAAGACAAGAATTTCTATGACCAACTAATAACATCATTATAAAATAAATATCAGATAAAGGAAAAATAGTTTTTATTGCACAAACAAAACGACACTGATAAAGGTAACAGATAAGAAAAAAAAGAGAGAAAAAAAAATGACTAGAAATTGATTTAAATCATTCCAGCAACTTCTTCTAGTTGACCAAGAAAACGTGCCACACGTGAACTATCATCTGCTTGTCGTGCAACTTCAATCAGATCAAGTAATGATTTAATTCCAATGAATAATCTATAAATATTGAAATTTAAATAAAAATCCAAACATATATGATAAAACAATATTTACTTTTTATCAAATAATTTCTTCTCAAGATATCTCAATTCATCATTATTAAAACATTCAATTTCATTTAATACATGAAGTATATGTTGACCACTACTCATATTTGATATATGAATTTGTTTCGAAAATGATGCTAATAAACCGAGTTGATCAAGAATATCTCGATATGTTGTTGTAGCAATAATTAATAATTTTCGACCTTTTGGTGGTGGACGTTTAAATAATAATTTCATTGTTTGTAAAACATTATTAGAATAACGTGGACCAACTGGTGCATATTCAAGTAATGTTTCCAATTCATCAACAACAATACCTATATAAATATTAAAAAAAAACATATTTAACGAATAATTTAATTCGAAATTTATATACATGATAAACTTGATTTATGTGCATCTTCAAAAATCTTTTTCAACTGTTGACATTTAGCTAATTCAGAAAAACCAAGCATTGTTTGTGCTGTACAAAATTTTAAATATGGAAATTTTGATAGAAGTGCAATATGAGCTGCCAATGCAGTTTTGCCACTATTTGGTGGACCTAAACAAAATTTATTAAAAATAAAATTAAGTTTATCGCTCTTCTTTTCTTGCTAATTCATAAAGGCAATCAGTACATTAATTACGTTTACCTAAGAATACTAATGATGATATTATATTAGTCACTTTTACTTGCAGGAGAGATTTATTGTAATTAAAACTGAAGTACTTGTATTACACTCAGTAAACTGCTTTGCCAAACATTTTAGTAATTACATGAGAGATAAATTCATGCGAGACAATTATAGATGAAATCAAATATTCAGAAAGAATTTTTAAGTCAAATTATATCTAATGTTTAACTATTGTACAGAATAATTAGTATGCTGATAATATCTATAATGAAATTTTTTATCGAAGTATAAATCACAGACTGTAATTTTTATATTCACAAGTTAAATATTACAAAGCAAGGACCTTCTCAAAATTTCGTTTTTAATTCTTTCGTCGAATTTTAATCTGAAATTTACCTTCGATTAAAATTGATACAAGTGGTGTCATTTCACCTTTAATTGTTTGTCGTATACGTAATTGTCCTTCTTCAAGAACATCAGTTACTGATTGTCCCCAAAGAATAATACCGTTTGATATATATGAATCAAATTCTTCTTTGCTAATACCAAATGCCTTTATAAAAAAACGAAAAAAATTAAATTTCCTTCTTCCTCTCCATTTCATACCGGTTTAACATCATTTTCATATGCATGCATAAAGTCTGCTCGGCAAACTTTTAATTTATCTGCTGCATCTGGATCAACTTCTACACTTTTACCAGCCTTGAATAAAAGAAAACAATAGGAAAATATAAGAATTTCAGAAACTAAAATCTACTTTAATATGTCTATTCATTGCAAATGACATTGCAGCTCGAACTAAACCTTCAAGTTCTGCTCCACTAAAATTTCTTGTTAATTCACTAAATTCTTTGATATCAACATCAGAACTTAGTTTATTATGTTCACGTAAACGATTTGTATGAATATTTAATATTTGTTGTCGACCAGTTTCATCTGGTAAACCAATTTCAATTTGTACTTCAAGACGACCAGGTCTTAAAAGTGCTTCATCAATCATATCACGACGATTTGTCATACCAATAATAAGTATATTATTTAATTGATCAACACCATCAATTTTTGATAATAATTGATTAACAACTGTATCACTAACACCGGCACTACTTTGCTAGAAATATTAATTTAATAATTATTTCAAGTGAAAATTTTATTTTACAAACCGATGAACCACGAGCTTTGCATATAGCATCAATTTCATCGAAGATAATTATATGTAAACCACTATTAGGTCCAAGCTAGAAGAAATATTTAATCCTATTTATATATCAAACGCAATCAGAAGATTAATTTAAAGAACGAGGAAGGATATTATCTCGTAGTAACGGAAGACATTTGATTGTATTTATTATAAATATCTTGTTACAGTCGAGCTTTTGTGTAGGGAATAAGTTTAGTATATGATAATCTTACTCGTTTTTCTTCTTCATCAGCTTCTGCAAATAATTTTCGAACATTTGCTTCTGATTCTCCAACATATTTATCAAGAATTTGTGGACCATTAACAATTTTTGGTTCTCGAGCATTTAACATTTTACCAATTTGTCTAAAGAAAATAAATAAATAATTTATTAATTAAATTTTATTATTTTATACCGAGCCATTAATGTTTTTCCAGTACCCGGCGGTCCATATAATAAAATTCCACGACAATGTTTCATTCCTAATTATGAAAGCAATATACATATATTATCTTTTAATAAAAAAATAATAATAACCTAATTGATAAACAATTTCAGGTGGAAAAACTCTTGAAGCAAAAGCACGACGAAATATTGCATTAAATTCTGCATCAAGACCACCAATACCCATTGTTTTAAAATCAAAATCTGGATTAATAATTGAAACAAATTGAGCTTTTCTATTTATTAGAGAGAAAAAAAGAAATAAAATAAATTTTTTATTAATTATTTCATCATACCCTTTCGATTTTCCGGCTAAATTTATTGATGAACCTTCTGCTCGTTCGAAAACAACCATTGAATTTGCAAGTGTAACACCCAAAGGAATTTTATGAGCTTTAGGATTCTGTCCACGAGCAACAGCAGATAAATCAACAGCTGTTTAATAAAATATTATTTAAAAGTCTATAAATGTTTTATTTCTCTTTCTATACCTTCAATATCTTTAACAGCTATTGTTAAAGTCTTTTTATCCATGAATTGAAATGGTAACTTTAGAAAAAAAAAATTAAATTTTTTTGTTACAAGAAATTTTAATTATTTATATGACATACGCATTGTCCAATGGAGAATGCATGATCAATATAATGTTGTAAAAATTCGACTGCCATTTTATCTGTATCATATGGATCTGTTGTTGTACTTGAAATAGAAAAAAAAGGGAAATTTAGAAATAAAATATTTTTTTATCGATTTACTTTTTTTTATTTAAAAAATCGATTTCAAGAATTAATGTTGCAACTGATTGAACATTTTTATCAAATGCATAAGGACGAATTTGATAAGGTCGATCCAATTCAATTCCTGCCCATCGTCGCTATTTACATAGAAAATTATATTTTAATTAAATTTTCTTTTTTCAAAAAAATATCTTACTTGTAATGTATTAAAACCAACTTTACCTTGAGGCATAGATCCATATTGAACAACTGTAAAAACAAATTTTGCATTTGTTACACTTGATGATAATTCAATATGTCTATAAGACGAAAATAATTTTATTTGAAATATAGGAAAAAAACATTTTTTTTTTTATAATTACCGAATACGTTTTGGATCAATATCTCTTTCATTAATAATAGCACAATTCGTAAAAGAAAGTTCATCAGTCGGACATTTCGTCGCTACTAATTGCATTGGTGAACCAGCCATGTTGTCTGCAAAAAACAGAAAAAAAAACATAACAACAATGTTGATAGTAGTGTTTATGGAAATGAAACACTTCGTCATTTAGGTAAACGACGAAAAAAAAGAATTTTTTTTTATTTCTTATGATCTTAATTATAGGCGTAGTTAGATGAAGTTTTTGTTTTAGAAAAAAATATATTGTCACGAGAAAAAAAAAAGAATCTAATAGATTATGATAGTCTGACTAATCTTAATGTCGTTATTTTGTTTAAGGACAGAAAGCTCTGAGATAGAATGAGAAGAAAAAAAAATAGCGAGCAGTGCTCATGATCACATCTTAGCAGAGGAAAAACTGCGTGGCCGAAGACGAAGAACAAGGAAGTGTATCCTGGAAGAGAAAAGAAAAAAGAAAATCAATGTAACTCTGCTTCTTTTAATAAGCATCAATGCATTTCAATGTTCTTTTTTTCTCTTATTTCCAGTTCTCTTTCTCGGGAAACAAAAAAATACAATAGATCGATTAATACAGACGAAAAAAAATATAATAATAAAACTCAGAAAATCATTACCGAGAAAATAATAAAACGTTGTTGTTATTTAAAATAATAGAAAACTAACAATTATCGCGAGTACTTATATACCATATTATTATCTTATCATTCTATTGAGTAAGAACTTTTTAATTGCTGACAATACAGCCACGTATAATAAAAAAAATTAAATTCTATGACTCATCCATGACTAACCAAATATCTAGTTTAGATAATAAAAAAAGAAATTAATCATTTTCTCATATATAAATATTACTTACTAGAATTTATATAATATGAATTATTACATTATATTAATTAATAATATAATCTGAAATTGAAACTCAATAATTGTTTTTCTTTTTTTATTACGACGATATACTATTTCATAGTTACTTTTTCTCCTTATGTTTAGTTAGTCAAATAGTTACATTGCTTCGATTTTTCTGAGAGACTATATTTCCTGTCAATTTACCGGAAGATTGTTTCAACACTTACTACTCTTTTATTAACCTTAATGTATTCTTGTTTTCTCCATGAGGTCTTTCTGAAAAGATATTTTTGTATAACAACAACTATTATTCATTTTTTCTCATTCAGAAATATTCATCAGAATAATTTTTTATTACCGAAATGACTGCAAATATATCTGTCATGCATAAAAAAATCTAATTATACAATAGATGAAAAAAAAATATAGTTCACCTTGCTATGAGAAAAACAATTCTTTCAACTTGTAATTTAATTAATTATACATCACATAAAAAAACGTTGTTATCTGTCAGTTGAATGTGAAAATCTTTTTTTCTATAGATAAAGAATATAGTTTTAGATCGATTCAGGAAATTAATCAATTTATTTTACATCAGTTCTTGAAAATAATGTATAACTATGAGAAAAGAAAAAGTCTTTCGATAGTTATATAAACGATCAAAGTTTAAGAACTTCGAATATGACTCTTATTTATCGGCAATAAGAATAAATGAAATTAACACGCTTGTCAATGTCATTTTTATTCGTTGGTAAGAAATGTCGAAATATCCTTTAAGAACAAGAAGATAAATAATCGAACTATAGAAAATATCAAGAATTGACGAGAAGATATATGTATTCGAAGAGAGTGTTCATTTACTTAACATGGGAAATGTCACAATTTATTCTATTATAAACGATAGATTAAATCAACTTCAATTCATTTCGATTGATCGAAGAAGAAGAAAAAAAAACGCATTTATTTTTGAAGTTTTCCAATGTAGGAAATGACTTATTCGTTAATAATTCATCAATCTCTTGATATAATCTATAGAAAATCATAAAAAATTAATTTCTTTTCCAGGCACTTCTTTTTTCATTTGACAAAGATTAAATCTAATCAAACGCCTACAAAATCACCACTGACTTATGTAAATCACGTTGATTAAAAACTTTTTCTATTTATTTTTTACAACATAAAATATTTTGCATGTCGACTTTCTTTTTTTTTCTAAATAATACTTAATATTCGCATGTAACTAAAAATTTCTTATTTTTTCAAAAAATAAGATATTAAATAATTATTTACTTTACATTTGCTATGTTTTTGACAAAACAAATATGTACTGACATTCAGATATGCTTATTTATTTCGTGACTATGAATATTAATAGACTATTTTCCAAGCTTTTTATCCTTCTTAGCTAGGAAAATATCTATACCAAGAAGCTCAACGTATCAAAAAAATTCTTTAATCTTATAAAGAGCAAAAATATGACCATACTATCGTTCATTTGATTATAAATAGATCAATTTATATGGTAACGCACTAGTTAATTTATCAACTTAATATACATGAATCACTAGTTTTTCACATCTCAACTAAAGAGCTCCTATCATATGTCAAATAGTATATGTCATTAAAATACGCTTACTTATATTATAGAATAACCCTTTATAGTCTGCATATAGAAATATTACCTGAAACTATATAAATTCTCATTTCTCCCTGGAGATTACAATACATTTCTCTTCATTAAATTTTAATTCTTAATCATATTTCTAGATTCAGTTCATATATATAAACATTGACAACAAAGGGAATTGGGAATTACAACATAAAAATACCTATGAATCCATTTATTTGAATAATACTCGTATCATCATCATCATCATCTCAATCTAGAAAAGATTATATGCAATCTGCATATGAAAAACAAAGCATAATTAGTTTCTTTTTTTTTTTAAATTTCATTTCTCATCATAATTTGTTTTTCCTAAACATATTTATATGTTGATATGATACAGAATATATTTGCTCGCATATAATATAAATAAGTGAGTGAGTGAGTGAGTGAGTGAGTATTTGATTTGGCCAATATCACTAGCAAGCACAAAAGAAGAAGACAAAAAAAGACAAATGCGCTGCTAGGAAAAAAACAAAACCGGAAGGAAGGAAAAAAAACGATAAATGCATTTTATGAGAGTCAATATGATGTTCAATTTTATACAAAAAAAGAAAAAAAATATATATATATATGTATATATAAGTATGTTTCATCCTCGACCGAGACTATTCAGTGCGAGGAGTATTCTACTGTTCTCACAATTCATTCGCGTAATTCTTTGCAAATGCAAAAGAACAAGAGCAAAATGAGCAAAATGTGTATAAGTTGAATAAACACAAAAACAAAAACCTAAGCACAAGCTCGAGCTTAATGGAAAAGAAAGAAATACACACACATAAACGGTTAATTATAGAAAAAGAAAATGAGAGAGAGGAGAGAGAGAAGAGAAAAGAAAATTAATGCTGCACATATATGCAAAAACAAACGGAGGGATAGATATTTATCTTAATAAATAGAAAAATAGAACGAAATTTTCATAATCAGATCTTAGGTAATTTTGGAGCAGTTACCAATGGATTATTACGTTCAATTAAACGTTTTCCTTCAGCTTTATAATCAAATGCACATGCATGTGCTTCTGGATATCGATGTTCACTACAAAATGAACTTCCACATCTACGAAAACAAAAAAATATTTTATTTTTTTTCAAAATAATCAAATAGATTATGTTTTTTCGTCTTCTACCTGCATTGATATGTTGTAGCTAATCCAGTTTTCTTTTTACAAAGAAAACATTTCGATGTTGATTTACGATTAATAATTACAGGTGGTAATTTATTAGGATTGTAAATTGTTGTTGATTGATTATTATTATTTACTGTTGATGATGCATTACTTGCTATATTTGACCATGGATTATTTGATTTTGAATCCAACTATGAAATAAAAAAATAATAATTAGAGATTTAAACACAATGCAATATTACTTTATAACGTTCTTCAATAATTGCATCACGAGATGATTGTTTGTAACCTATTAGAAAAGAAATTTTATAGGTAAAAAAAAATAATAAATTTTACTATTTTTCATTGATGATGTTTCTTTTGATGCAGTTGTTAATAATGAAACGAGATGTTTACCAACACCTCGTGAAGTATCTACGGGTTCAATTGTAGCATTTTGCCGTAGAAGTGCAGATACAGTTTTCGACCCAATTGTTTCTAAACAGAAAAACAAAATAAAACAATTAATTGAATTGTTTTTTATTATTTACCAATTGTGACTTTTGTACTATCAATTGGCATAAGAGATGAAGATGATGTTGGTATTGTATTTCCTACTGATTTGATATCTGGTTGTGTAAAATGTCTTTTTGAAGGTGGCGGTGGTGGTAGAGGAAAAATTGTATTTGATATTGAAGAAGATGGTGAAGTAGTTGATGGTTGTTTACCAGGTGTTTTTAATAGTTCAATTCGTTTATTAATCATTAAATGTTCATTAAAAGAATCAGTTGTATTACTATTTAAACCAATACCATTAGTACCATTATTTATTAGTTCATTGGAAGAATTATTTGAATTAGCACCTAGAAATGTTTGTTGTTGTTGTGGTGTTGTTGTTGTTAAATGTATATTTGATGATATACGTCGATATTTTGCTAATGTTAATGGTATAAATGGTCTTGATGATGATGATGATGATTTATTTTGTTCATTTTGTGATGGCTTATGATGATGATAAAATTGTTGTGTTGTTGATGGTAATGAAGATTTTTTATTAACTTGTGGTAATGTTGGCATTGGTGTTATAGCTGTTGAACTATTTTGATGACAAAATAACATTGATTGACTTGTTGATGTACGTTCACCTGATGTATATTCATCGAGAACATTTAATTGTTCATCATCATCTGTCCATAATGGTTTACTTAATGATGTATCATTTCGACTTTGTATATCAGCTGTTGTTGGTTTACGTGTTAAATTTACTGGTGATATAATTTCATCATCAATTAATTCAAGCATTGGTGATGTATGTGAATGATGAAATAATATTTCATTTGTTGAATCATTTTTTTCATCGGAACTTATATGTTCATCAGATGTATTAAGACATTTTGTTGAAAATATATGTGATGATGTTGATACAATTGGTATTGTTGGAGATCTACGTTGAGTATAATCAACTAAAACACTTCCATTACTACTTGAATCATTTGTTGTTGTTGATGTTGTTATTGTAGCAGCTTCTTGATTAAGTAATTTTTTAGTTGTATTATGTTGTTGTTGATGATGATGATGGTGATGATGATGATGATGTTTTTTATGATAGAAAACTGATGGTGAATATGATCTTGATGCAAACATATGTTGTTTTGAAAGTGGTTTTTGTTGTTGTTGTTCTTCTTCGTCATCATGACTATCTTCATCATCGTCATCATCATTATCATCATCATCACTATCTTCTTCATGTAAATGATCAGTTCGATTCATATTTGTTGTCGATAATAAATTATAAGTATTAAAAAGATTTGCAGAAAATGAATAAGATAATGGTCGATGTTGTCGATCTAATGATGAATTAGTAGAGATAGGCTCTCTAGTAGTAGTTGCCGTTGTTGTTGTCGTTAAATTCGAATTTGTTTCAATCGGATTAATACGACGATGCTGATGATGATGATTTATATTTGCTTTTATTTGTTTTGATGATGAAGGTGGTCGAGGTGGAAGAATATCCTTTGAAAAAAAACAAACGAAAGATTAATAAATTATTTGAACATTTCGTTTTCTTTTTTTTTTGATATCCATATTTATTCATAGCTCTATCTATCCATGGTAATGACAAAGTTCAAGGTTATCATTCCCTAATGAATGGCATTGGTTTAGACAAATAAAGAAAAAATCTCTAGAGATCATCAATAAATAATAATTTATTTTCTATCATATCTTTTTTGCTCATCAATTTTCTCTTTGCTATAAAACTAATAAATTTCTTTTTTTTGTTATGTTACTTTTTTTGCATGTGTTTTTAGTTTTGAACGAATTAATTCCATTTTTTGTTTTGTTTTACGATCATCGTCTTGTCTTTTTTCATCATATTTACGTTCAGATTCAACTATTATCGGATCATGAGTATTATACATTGATCCAGCACTAAATATAAATATATATGACTCTTCAAAAAATAAAATAATCAATTACCTTATTGAACCAGATAAAGGTGAGAGGGTTCCATCGCCTCTATCAAGAACTTGAAAAAAATTAAATTGATCACCATCACGTAAAACAAGAAATGTAACATTTTTATTTGATGACGACGATGATGACGATGGTAATAAATCATTACTAATTCCATAATCATCTTGACTATTTTCAATATATTCTGACATATCTCTTATTAAATTATCTTCAATTAATACACGTTTTGTATTAACAGGTCCACCACGCATATCCAAAACAAGTTTTATTGTTGTACCAGCTTCAATATTATAATCATTTAAACATGATTCATCTTCAAGTTCATCAGTTTTAAATACCAGATGTTGTTGTAAACTTGGTATACCTTCACGTCGTTCAATTTTACGTTTTATAGATTGAATTTGTTCATAAGGTGATACAAGTAATTCAAATGATGTTCCAACTAATGTTTCAACATTGATTGGTATTAAAGTTCGTGTTGATGTTTGACTTGTTGGTAACATATTTTACAAAAGAAGATCTAAATTTAATAGGAAATTCAAAATAAAAAAAAAAGAAAGTTCGCTATATACATTAGTTCATTTTTTTTGTTCGTATAAATATTTTCATACTTACATCATATCACAAAATAAATTTAGAAAATCAATTTCATCTAAAATTTCAATTTATAAATACAAAGTCTTTACTAAGTATGTTTACATTTTAGGGTTACTTTATTTCGTCAAAAAAAACAGAAGGAAAAAGAAAAAGAAATTTATTATGTATAAAAGTGCCTTGCAAGAAGAAACCCTGTAAAAATTCAAATTTGCTGGTAATCGTAAAAAAGAAAACAAAAAATTAATGTCAATATTCGACTAAGAGATTTTTTTGCAGCATGTATGAATTTGTTCAAATGGAAAAATATATTTGATAGGAATCTTCAACTAATCAAATATTATTGTTTAGAATTTTATCAAGCGACATCTATATGAGCCTCCAATTCGAATACAATGGTACGTTCTGATTGCTTCCTTTTTTATATATCTTGTAAATAAACAAGAAGAAGACAATTTTATTTTTCGAAATTACTTCTCCAATAAATAGTTCAGTGACTATTAGTGTCTTTCTTTTCATTTTTAGATAACAGTTAGATCCTTGACGTCATCTCAATAAAATGGGTATAATAAAGAAATTGTTTTGCACTTTCAATTAATTTACATTTATTTGTTTTATATAGGTAAACCTCGTGGTCTTCGTACAGCTCGTAAACTTAAAGATCATCGTCGTGAACAACGATGGCACGATAAAGATTACAAAAAATCTCACTTGGGTACACGATGGAAAAGTAATCCATTCGCCGGTGCCTCACATGCTAAAGGCATTGTCCTCGAAAAAGTGTACGTTATCTAGATTTCTTAAAGAAAAAAACAATGATATTCTATTTTTATTTTTTTTAATAATGTAGTGGTGTTGAAGCTAAACAGCCTAACTCAGCTATTCGTAAATGTGTTCGTGTTCAATTGATCAAAAACGGCAAGAAGATCACAGCTTTCGTACCTCGGGATGGTTGTCTCAATTATATCGAAGTAAATTAATTTTTATTGTAATATTATTATATTCTTATTCATATGATATAAATTAGGAAAACGATGAAGTTTTAATTGCTGGTTTTGGTCGTAAAGGTCATGCCGTCGGTGATATTCCGGGTGTTCGTTTCAAAGTCGTTAAAGTTGCTAATGTTTCATTATGGGCATTATATCGTGAAAAGAAAGAACGACCACGTTCTTAAATATCAATCGACTACAACAACAAATTCAATGTAAAAACCTTTTTGTTTTGTTGTTTGTTGTTTTCAAGATAAAAAAATAATAAAAAAGAAGAAGGAAATAAAATTATTCTTATTAATATAATCGAAAGATTCATATTCATTTAAACATACAATAAGAAGTTCTATTGATTCAATAATATGAATGTATACCGATTAATAATCAGTAGAAATTAATTACGTACCTATTTTCTTTTCATAGGGAAATAAATTCAAAATTAAGAATATATGCGAACCTTCCAATGAAAATCAGTTATTGTTGTTCATAGATATAATAGATATTGCTACATATTTGAGATCAGTACTATTACTGTTATAAAATGCTTAATTGATGCTCTACTTTAATATTTATTGTTGAACTATCGGAAAATATTACAATCAATTTAGTGTGACGTGATGGTCTCTCAATATCGATGAAGGAAGTAACGCATAATTGAAAAAATATATTTGATAATTTTATTAATTAATATAGAGGAAAAAATATATCTTTTTGCGGATGTTTAAAAAATCATATGACATTGATTTAAAATCTTGTAATATAATGAATAATTTAATTATTTTCTAATGTTCACATGAAAATCGAAATGGTCAGATAAAGCATTTATTAAATTCAATATCATATTCTGTTTATTAAAATGACCAAAATAACAAGTCATTAGATACAAGGAAAAATCAGTGAGAAAAGCCTTTATAAGGTTTGTATTTTCTATGTAAAAAAAATATTTGTTGTCAATATGTAACATTATGCAAGTCCATTAATATCAACATTTTTGAAAAACAAATTATACTTCACGCGTGTCCAGATGTGGTAATTAACATTTCGTTGAGAAAAATTTATCATTTTTAATATCTCATCAAATTAATATTTGTAGTGTAAGTACTATTTCAAAGTATTGATTATTGAAAATGTTTTTTTAATAGACATATGTTAGAGAAAGGAAGTTTCTTTTATTAGTGTCATTGTAAATCAAAACTTTTCGAATAATATACAATATAGTATAGTTACAGATATGAAAATAAAAGCTTGTTACATTATATATGACAAAAATCTCCTATTAGTAAAAATTTAACCGTCTTTTTTGTTACAATATAGTTATAGGCATATTGAAAAAACGCCGTGAGTCTACGTGGAGAGTGGATATGAGAAGAAAGGTATAAGGTGGAGACAGATTGGGGATAAATATATTTACTTCATCATTTAACCTCACCTTGACCTGTACTCCAATGTGATCAACGACATATACCGTCATTCGCACCCTTATACATAGACGCTTTCATGTCAATAAACGCTATTACAATAAATATTTGATTTATTCTAATAGACGATACTATTTTTATATACAATGACAAAATGACAACGATAGTTAAAGAATAAGTAATAATAGAATTAAAAAAGATCACAGATGAATAATTGAAGAAGAAACAATAAATTCCTCTTTACTATGATACTAGGTAATGTTATATCATTTATTTTTTCTACTCGGTATATTTTATCATAGAAGTCTAGATGAACGTTTTTCCAAGAAAAGAATCATATTGTTTCTCATTTACATTCGAACACGTACAATGAACTTACAATTGTAGAAAATTTTGTTAATCACTGAAATGATAGATATTCCATATGATATCTTTATTTTATTTCAATAAGGATTACAAATGAAATGAAATGAAATAAAATAAGAAGCAAAATGAATGTCATGTTGTGTAAAATGTTCATTGGAGATAATCACAGAAGTAAAATAAGCATGAAGTTTCGTGTTTTTTTTTTCTACAAATCGCTCCATGTTAATGTCGTTTGAGCTTCGATTGCTCGAATTGAATCTGAAACAGTACCCTGAGCAACTAATTGACTGAATTTTAATGCTTTTGCTGTATCTATTGACATTCCAGTTAATTCGATTGTTAAATCATAACCAAATTTATAATTATTATTTCCATACCAATTATTTTCACATTCTTCAATTATATGTATATATACATATGCATTAACCTTGGTCCAATTTTGTAGATTTCTAACTTGATATTCTTTTGTATAACGAACAATTGTTGATAATTTTTCACCTGGTTTAGCCCATGTTTTTGATTGTTCACGATAATGTGTTGTTATATCTTCACTGAAATCTTCCGGTTGTATTTCTGTTACATTTGATTGTTTAAAACGTGATTTAATTGAATCACGTAAACTTTTCTTAAAATTATTTAAATCTTTTTGTTTTTCAGTACCCATAATTTTACCAACAGCCAATATATCATCTTTAAATAAGATTTTTTTTACTATTTTTTTTTCATCCAAAAATTTCAGTAATGTACCAGGTATACGATTGAATATTTCCATTCCTTTCTCACGAACATCGGCAGAAAATAAAGTTACCAATTCATTACCAGTATACATAGCTAAGGCCATCTTGATTGATGATATATGCTAAAGATTGTATTCGAAAATATAAAAGCAATAGAAATTTTCTGTTTAGATAACTTCTTGTCCTTGAAAATGACGTCGAATAATATCAAATAGTCAATATAACTATTAAGGTAAAAAGGTAAGATTTTTGTATATATATATATGTGTTCAAAAACAACCTTATAGTATGGCTTTTACCCTTTTTCGTTATGGTATAAAGCGAATTATATGGTAGGAAAAACATACTAAATTCAAGGTTATCCTTGTTTTTCTATAGTAATCAATGAAGCATAAATAACGTAAAAACACGTAAATTATTTCTGGTATTTTGTTTTCTGACACAGTATTCGTTCGTTATCTCTAGACCATAAAAAAACAAAAAAAAATTACATATACTATTAAATTGTTTTTGCACGTATATGTATATATTTTACCTTGTACCTTCATATTATCATTAAAGAATATACAAAGTCATCTGTAAGTGGAACTAAATTTATTTTCACTATAATCAAATAGACATTGTAGGTTTTATATATTATCCAAGTGGATAGTTACAAAACATATTATCAATTAGAAGATGTCTCTTTTCACAAGTACAATCAATGAAGTTTTACCGTTCATGCCTGTCGAAATTCATGGAAAAACGATTGAAATTTTTAATCGTATTCCCGGTACATTACTCAAATATTTTGATCCAAAGGCAATAACAAAAAAAGCAGAATGTGGTGAGCATAATTTCAATAACGCTAAAACTATTGGAAATGATAAGGCTGATATAGATTCTCGTGATACACATAAGGATACAAGTGATTTACCAAGCAAAAAATCCTATAATACCGAAGGAACTCAAAGAAGTCTTAGTCTTCGAGCAAAATCTTCATCAAAATATGGATCAGAAAAAGATACAGCATTCAATAGTGATCTATGGTTTAGTACACATGGATTTGATAATGGTAAAGATTATAGTAATCTTCGTACACAATTACGTGATTCAATAAAGAAAATGTTTCGAGAACGAAATATAACTGAAATAAGTCCAAGTAAAATTGCACGTGAAATAGCAACAAAATGTCTTGAACAATGTCCAAATTGGGGTAAACAACATCAAAATACATCAGCAATAGTTCGATTTAATTCAACATATATAACTGATGATCCATTAGTAAAAATGAATATTCATGCATATGTTTATGCTCATTTAGTTTGTGAACATGAATCATCATTTATGTTTAGACATAGTTATAAAAATAGTTTTGATTTAACAATTGAAGTCAATGGTATTTCAATAGATCCAATAAAAATCTCACAATTTATACGATTAGTTACAGAAAATAGTGTTTCAGATTCTGTTAAAGCAATTGAAGGAATTGCACCATTAACTTGGGATGATTTAAATGGTCCACATACAACTCGAAATACTGAAAAAAAACTTGCATTAACATGGGATGATATATAAATGGTAAAATCAAGTAAAATTCTCAAGACTATTTTGATTTGTTCATTTCTATAAAGTAAATAATGTGTGTTTTTTTTCCTTTTTTTTAAGTTTAATAAATATAGAAAAGGTGATAAATATTTGAAACAAGATGATCACGTCATCAATTAAAAAATACGTAAAAATTTACACATTATATAATTCAATCAGATAAATCAAATATATTTGGAAAAAAAAACACTTTATCATGTGGTTTGCATTTTTGCACCGAATAATTTATAATGATCGTATCAAATACAAAATTATTTATGCTCTAGTACATTTCGAAACTAAATATTTATTAATTTACTTGAGTCATAGAAAAGATTCATAGTTTCGTAAGATAATTATTGACTTGATTACATTTCGTTAAGGTTCAAATATGCTGTCATGATGAGTGTAACTAATTTATTTCAAAATCTGACTAATAAATATGGATACGGATGATAGTAGATTGAACTATGACACATTTTTGGGTACTGTAATAGTGATAGATAGATGAAATTATTAATTTAAGAATAATATATAATTTTTATCACATTTTCTTTAGACAATATATTCATTTGAGAAATAATAAAATAAATATAAATCTAATACTTATGTACATATACTCACTCTTTTACTTCAACGAAAGAATTGGTCTAATATATCACCAATCATCGATTTTGTCTTTCTAAGAGAAAAGGAGTACACACAGTCTATAAATCGACTATTTACCATTCTTATTTTTTTACTCGACAACTGAATATATATATATATTCTTTAACTGTACATTTGTGAAACATTGAAACATGATGAATCGTATTGTATTAAATTCTGTTGTACGCATTGCTCGTGTTAATCCAACTACTCGATCAATTGCTCCTTATCGTTGGGTTAGTCTTATTTATTCATACAAGTTTTATTAAATTCTATATTACATTTATTTCTATAGCAATCATCATCATCACAAGCAGCACAAGGAGCAACAAAAACAGCAGCTAATCCAGCAGCACAAGGAGCATCAAAACCAGCAGCTGATCAAGCAGGACAAGGATCAAATTTTACAGCTGGTCTTGCCGGTGGTCTTACTGTTCTTCTTGGAGGTATGATTTTCTTAATCACGTGTTTGTACACGTGTGTAAATTAAAACTAATCTAATTCTATTGTAGGTTTTGCCTGGTATCATTTTAGTGGTACACGTCAAGTTGTAAATACTGCTCGTGATGGTCTTAAAAAAGCAGAAGAATTAAAAGAAAAAGTCAAGGATAAAGCTGGTGATCCAGCTGAAACAGTAAAATATTTACGTTCAGCTAGTGCTGCTTTAATTCCTGGTTCAGCACCTTTTCTTGGTAAAATCTTTGATCAAGTTGAACATATTACCAAAGAACATGGTGATGAAGTTAAGAAAGTATTTGAAGAAACTTATGGTGATTTTGAAAAATTAGCAAAAGAAGGTACTTTAGATCCTAAAACAGCAGGTAAAGCTGTAGATATTCTTCAAAAACGTGTTAAACAAATTCAAGAATTAGCTGGTGATGCTGGTAGTGAAGCATTCAATAAAATAATTTCGGAAAATCCTGAATTACGTGATAAAGTTGCTGATCAATATAAAAATTTAAAAGAAGTTATTGAAAAAGCTAAAGATAAAAAACCTGAAGCACAAAAACTTCTTAAAGAAACTGGAACTGAATTAGCAAAAATTTTCACAGAAAATGGTGTATCAAAACAAAGTATTAAACAAGCACAAGATTTATTAAAGAAAAAAGGTGAAGAAGCAAAAAAACTTGTTGACGATGCTAAAAAGAAATAAATTTCTTTTCATCTTTTTTTTATTATATTTATTCTCGCTATAGTATATTTTAAAAGAATGTTTCTTTTCATCTTAATATATATTATCCTTTTTTCTCTGTTAGCCATTTTAAATAGGCCAGTAAATTATTTTTATTTAAAATAAAAAACAATCGAAAATATTTATTATATTTTATAATAAGAAAGATCTGAGAAGAATTTCAACAATTATTATCGATGGTTCAGCTGATATACTGATAGAAGATCCATTGATGAACTTCGCTAGTCCATCTAATAGTTCCTTCTCAGATAGACTATTCTCACAGGTTAAGTATAACTCAGCGTTTATCTGGATTTCGTTTTTCGGACGAGCGAATCGAAATTTAGGGGGGGCGGCGTTTATCCAGCGCCCACCCGGACCATCTTGAAATATTCAGCTGCCGTATTTTTCTCGGGTGGACAGGCCGAATTTTTGGGTGGGTGCCATCCACCCACACTCACCCGCTGGTATAACTTCAGTCTTCGATATTTTCCATGCTCTGTTTTTTAAAACACACTTCATGTATAATATCAACATACTGCGCCCTCACTCGTTAGTGTTTCTCTGTATATGATTGGTTAAAATGTTTCGCTAATCCAACATTCGATTTGTTCTTTATGTCAAATGAAAAAAAAGCAAACAATTCGTTTGTAACACGAAAATATTCGTTCAATAAAATTTTTTTAGATTCTTTTTTTCCTAATTCTTTGTTCGTTTTTTTTTTACAATGTATGGTAATATCGTTCCGCTAACAACGGTCGGTACTACACAAGTACTACCTGGTAATGTTTTACCAACAAATAATGTTGGAAATAATGATTTAGTTATAATACAAGATACAACAACAGCAACAAGTCAAGCTGAATTAATTAATCAATTACAAAATCATATAACTGAAAATCAACAAATATTAATTATTACAGATGATCAAGGACAAGATCAATGTAAGTAAATTATTTTATTTCTTATCAAAATTTTGTGTAAAAACACAAATTCTATATTTATTTTATAGATGTTATTATTGATAAAGATCAAGATATAAATGCACTTTTACAAGATGGTAAGTTCCTTTGTTTTTAAATTATATATCAGTTCAAAAATGATGATGAAAATAATAAGAACGGATAGATGAAATTTTATATGAATAAAAACTATTACACATTACTACTATTCAACTGATTTGAACTGATTAATTTCAAATAAATGAAATTTGAAAAATTCTTATCATTTTCAGGTTCTTTATTTTCACATTATGCTGAACAGCAAGTTGCTCAAGTACCTGCTGGTTTACAACAACAAATATTACAAATTGCTTCAATGCCTACCATTCAAACAACTCATGTTCCATCTGCTGTATCAACACCTGTACCTATTCAACCTAAACCAACACCAAAACCCATAGCACCTGCAACAATGAATCCATCAATTGTGCAGCATAAACAATCATTTCAAAGCAAAGTATAATGAAAACAACATATCTCAGATTCTATTTGTGTTGAATACCTTTTCTTTCCTAAATACCATAATATCTATATTTTAGGTCAATGCCAATGCTTTTCATGTACAAAATGTTGAAGAATCTGTCCAACGTGTCACAGCTCCGCCACCGAAGAGAAAACCAAGTAAAAAAACTTTCTTATTTATAATTTCGAATTTTAATCTTAAATATTTTACAGTCGAAATTCGTTATGATCCAAAAGAGAATTCATTTCAAAATGCATTTTTAAAATTTCTCGCTGGAGAAAAAATGCCATCATTAGAAGCTTTAGCTAGTGAATCTATTTTACGTAAACCAAAAGATAATGTTTATATTGGTGCAGTTAATGCTGGAATTGTTTTAAGTTCTCTCGGACCACCAACAGGTAGTATGGGTTATCAAACTTATATGGTTAATGATGAATCACGTATTGAAGAAATTATGGTCATTGGTCGACCATTGTATGATGATAGTAAAGGAGTTAAAATAAATCCATTATTAAAAAATCTTCCAACAACAATGAATCATCAAACAACAACTTTTCTACCTCAAACTATAACTCTAACACCAAATTCTCAACAACAAAATATAAATACCATCAATGGTGTATTTCGTAATACACAATCAGATATTCTTAATAATGTTGTAAGAATTAGTTTTTTATTGGGAATTTTTGTATATAAAATTTCAATATATTTTAGACAACAATGACATTACCACAGCATATTATTGATCAATTAGGTGCTGGAACACTTACAGTAACACAGCCATCAGATGGTGCGGAAGGTATTGAATCAGCGACAGCAAATGCAGCTGCAATACTTAGTCAATTAAATGAAATGGTACAAGGACAACAGCAACAAACAAATCAAAATTCAACAAATTATCTTTCGAATGAATTACTTGCTACAACTGATCTTAATCGAGTACAAAGTGAAAAAGTAAGAAAGATATATATATATATACCAATTGAGATTTAATTTTTATTTGCTATTCTTCAGGAAACAGCTGATGCACTTTTAGCTGTTGCAATATCAAAAACAAATTTTGGCACAACAAATTCCAGTAAGAAACGAAATTATTATCTTTTCTTAATATTAAATTTATCTTTTTTTAAAGATATGAATACAACTAATGAAGGAATTTATTCACCAAATACTGCAAAGTAAATTATATTCTTTTAAATAAATTTATAAATAACTGTTTTGTTTAGCTCATCATCATATATGAATATTGATCGTCCATCTCTAGCAGCTGCTGCTTTATATGATCTTAAACATGAACAATTACAAATAGCAAATGCTGCACTACAACAACAAGCAATTAGTGAACGAAACCAACAAGAAACATCTACTGATAATAAACGACAAGAAGCTACAAATGTTTCAACAGCCGATAATCAATCAGTGACAACTACTGCTGGTACACAGCAATTTACCGAAGAAGGTAAAATTAAATCAAAGCAAAAATTTTCAATATAAAATAACGTTTGTTCTCTTTTTTTAGTAACAGAAATGGGTCCAGAAATTCCATTTGAAATTGGCCAATTTTTACTTTATAAAGGACATTTTCTGAATCTACTTCATTTTCCTATATGGAAAGTACATACCAAAACATTGCTACTTAAATATGATACAGTACTTGCTGATTCAGAAATTGCTTGGGAAGCTACAGATGAAGTAAGAATACATTAAACATGTAAATAATAAATTCCATTCGATTATATATCTATATTTCTTCTAGGGAATGTTTTATACGAATGTCTATGAAGATTATGTTCCTCTTAAATGTGAATTAAAAGGTTTACATAATAATCAAGAAGTAGTTCGTATTGTTAATGAATCCCATCCAATTAAACTTAAGTATAATAACCATATTTTTATATTATTAGAAAAAAATAATCTGATTTTGTTTTTCAAGAATTCATGGTCATATGAGTTCAGTACGTATTCAACATGATGTTTATGCTCAAGTACTTGTTAATCATGTTTATGATGCTGATGTATTACCAAGAATTAAAGCAAATACTGGTATAATTTATCAATTTTTAGAAAAATAATGTTTTTGATTTTTTCTTCTTGTAGACGATTATGCTTCATATATTCGATTGATTGATGAAATGCTTGATCAACGTTATAATTATGTTATTCAATCAAGACGTACGATAGAAACTTTTCCGGTATATAAATTCCAATTTTTTGTACTTATACAAAATATTTTATTTAAATAGTGTGCAGTTGCAAAATACCCATTGCTTGATATTATCAATCAACCGCAAAGACATTTACATTGTCAAGTAAATCATATCAATATTTTCAAATTCATCAAAAACCTAAATTGTTTATTTTAGGTTACGGAAGATAAATCTCAATCAGTTTCACATACATTACGTTTTCATGGAAATCAATATGATGGAGATACATTAAAAGCAAGCGATACTCCATTACAAATATTGGTAATTAATTAAAATAAAAATTTTTATTTATAAAACTATAGAAGAAAACATAGCATAATGATTTATTAGATACAACTTTAATAATACTCTACGATATCGATTATAGTTGTTCAAAACATCTCAATGATTTCTTTCAATAAAGTAATATTAACTCGAAGTCCATTTAGAATTCTCAAGAACACAGAGGCACAAGATTAAGAATACAATGTAACACTGTAGTAAAGTCTCTAACTGTATCAGAACTTTTAAGATTTGAACTACTAGTTAACAAAAACGCTTAGTATTTCGAACAGATGTTGAGATCGATACATGGAATTCATAAATCTATCTATATATATAAAGAAGAAAGCTTGTCTGTTTGTTCTTTATGCATTTGGAGACCGTACGAGCAAATCAAATGAAACTTTCCAGAAATGTTGTCTACACCCAGGGGAAGATCGATATCTACTTTTTTCTGAAAAAAATGAATCCTACGCTTGCTACAGGCAATCTATAGAACTGACTAATAGGAATGCAGCATTTGAAAAAATCAAAAAAACATTGATAGCGAAGGCGCCCAAAGGCCATCTGAGCGCATATCTCCCGTTCGCTATGCATTCGGTCCCTGTAATAGCTTTAATCACTAAAGTTTCTATGACACTTCCTTAGTTACCAAGGACGGTCGACGGGGATTGGCGTAGTCATCGGGAGGGGGGGGGGCGGGATGGGGCGTGATTGAAACTTTACCCAGGTGGTTGTGTGATAGCTAACGTCACCAAACCATCAATCACACTTCTGTATATACAAGGAAAAGTGGCGAGGGGGTCGGATACGGAAGATGTTTGAAATATAAATATTTTGCAGCGGGAACCGTGTCAAAGGGATTTTACAGCGACAACTGTATGACAGAGAGTTTGCAGCGGGAACTGTAAGACCAGGATTTTGCAGCGAGAACTTTGTAAGAGAGAATTTGCAGTGGGTACTTCCTCTAGTACTTCTATAAAAATGATTCAATTTCCCTCTTGATTATCTGAAAGATGACATTAGATCTATAATGATTATATTTAATTCTAGGAAATATTTGTATGTGAAACTATTGCTGCCTTAGCTCAAACCGCTCATCAACTTAAACATCATGTTTATCATATGTTTTGTCATGCTCAACAAAAAGTAAATAAGTCGAAAAATAAATTTTATTTATTCATATTGATTAAATTTTAATAGGTTGCTGAATTACAAGCCTTGAATCCAACAGCTGATGCCACAGAATTAATTAGTGCGATTTGTGGTGATTCCGCATGGTTACAAGAAGTAATATAGAAATGAAATTTTCTTGATTTGCTTTTTGTTTTTATTCTATTTAGTTATTCGATCGTTTTGATTCCATAATGCAACAAGCAGATTTATATATTTTTTCAAACGTTGAAATAGCTTGGTGAAATAAAAGAAGAAAAAAAAAGCAAATTATAATCTAGTGGACTTCTTAGCTGCATTCATCCATCACTAGTCATAATTTCCTCGTAATACATACATAGATATATATATTTGTTTTTCTTTTGTGTATATATATATATCATGTATTGTAACTATCTATTTGATATTTTCAAAATTACGCTCTATCTATATGTATTTGCTTGTTTATTTAGAGCGTTTGTTATTGTATAAACTTGAAAAAAAATGTTTTCATTAGATTTCGCAATGTTTTTTGTTTTTAAAAGAATGAATGCGATAATAATGTTATATATCGCAATTCTTTTAGTTGGATACTTATCATAAAATCTAATACTGATTAGTAATTGTTATTAGTGAAAGGTTACTTGTATTTTGATTTTATGCAATTCAGGATTCTGTAGAAGAATCTGCACATCTGACTTTGATTAGATAATCAAATGAAATGAGATGATTTTTTCATGGATTCTGATTGTACTGCTAGAACAGTATAGTCTTATCTTTATTTCTATTATTCAAAATTGAAATAAATACCATACTGACAAGGGAACCTCAGCAGCTGTTCAATCTCTTGTTTAATAAAAAACAATGGGGATAGAGGTTATCAATCATGTTGATTCCGAATATGAGTATGAGAAGTGCCCTTAGGCTTTTATGGAATGATCTTGTAGAAAATCGGTTTCCAAAAACCACATACTTTTTACTACCTCGATAGACATAATCTTTAGAAAACGCGTTCAAACAGCGTTTCAACGGTAGATCATCGTATAAACGGCGTTTTTACGCGTTTTTTTGCAGATTATGTCTATCGAGGTAGTAAAAAGTATGTGGTTTTTGGAAACCGGTTTTCTACAAGATCATTCCATAAAGACCTAAGGGCACTTCTCATACTCATATTCGGAATCAACATGGTTGATAACCTCTATCCCCATTGTTTTTATTAGACAAGCGATTGAACAGTTACTGATGTTCCCTCGTGAGCAGTTTTCGGAAGAAGTATAAAGGATGAAGATATCTCACGAAATATTCACTCAACTATAAGCGCTCTAGAAAATTATAAAATGAATGATTAATATCTGTTCTTATAGTTATACAGAATAGCTGAACATTCATTTCATTAGTAAATGATACTAGTGCATCTGACAGCTAAAAGAATGCTCGATAGTTTTGATAGGAGAACGATGTAAGTACATTTCCTACTTATACTTGTAAAATCTTGAAAATGTATGATCCAAAAATTATTGTAATTTTCGAAATATGTAAAATATCTACACAATAATATTCTTTGACAAGCCATTTAATATTATTTTAATCATACATGTACATCGATTATTATCACGAAGAAAATATCTTATTAATTATTATTACAGTCATTCTATAGAAAATATTAAAGGAAAAACATGTTGTTTTTTTATTATTTTAATAAATATAAAAACAGAATTTCGAATTATATTTCAAATGGATTGGCAAATCTTGCTAATGTAATATCATGTAAACATCCATTAATAAATTCTGTTTTACTTAGTACTTTATCTTGATTTGTATCGAATGTAAGCATAAGTGTATTTGTATAAGTTTTTGCATCTTCTTCAGGTAAACCAATAATTCGACATATTAAATTAAGAATTTTTTTTGCTTCCTTTTTTTCAACTACTTGATCATCATTTATATCATAGACTTCAAATGCATATTCAAATTTTTGTTGTTTTGTACCTTCACTTGTTGCAATATAAGCAAAAAGAAATTCAGAAAAATCAATCGTACCTTATAAAATAAAAAACCAAAACATTGATTGAAAATTATTAGTCAAATTATTTACCAGATTGATCAGCATCAAATGCTCGAAAAATATGATCAGTTATTTGTTGTAGATTTGATTTTTTTCGTAATTTCGAATAGAATACTTGAAATTGTCGTTTATCCATTCGATCAGTATGATTAGTATCTTGATGAAATTCATCATACCATTGACGAATTTCTCTTTCACTTTTTCCACTTGTTTTTATTAAAATTTCAACATCTCTTTCAGTAAGTACATGTGTTCCATTTCGATTACCCATTTAACATATGTTGTTATTGTCTTTTTTTATGGTTATATATACAAAAAAAAATTTTTTTTTGTCTATGCATTCATGTTTCTCTTTATGTAAGCATAATGTTCCCATGGATATGGACACCCACAGAACGAGATTATTCAAGCATGACGTAAACAAATTTTCTATAAACAAAAAAGAAAATCCAATATTTCGTCAATACAAGATCTTACAACTATTTTGATATTCAGAAGTGTTTGTGGGTTATATGAATGGTTTATTTTTAAGATATCGAGCATAAACAGACGAATTACTTCGGAACGTTGAAAACTAAATTGACAAATATGTTATTTCTAAACTGCCGAAATCCTCATAAAGACCGTAATATTTATTACTGAAAAAAGCTGCACGACTACATGTCAAATAGGAAGTTGAAGTGAATGATCTCTTAATCAACAATAATAAACACATCTTTTGCATTTTGTTATGCATTATTTTTATATATCCAGAGAAAATTAAAACACAAAATTATTTAAACTTAAAAAATTCCGACATTCCAGCTGTTCTGTACTTTCTCTTCCTATGTAAATATGTATATCTTAATCGAAGTTAGTTATGATTTTATCATAAAGCAGCCAAAAATCTTTATTTATTATTATGTACGTAGCTAAAACTAATTACATGATATTTGAAATACCTAAAAATAAAACCGACCGAACAATAGTTTTCAATGTCAATACCTATATTATTCAGTATGCTATATTTTATTCGTAGATTTAACAGAAATATAATGATATCAATAACATTCCTTTCTTAGTAAATTCAACGAATGAGAAAAACATATCGTAAATTATTTTCCTCTCATCATATGCTTGAAATATGTCCTCGAAAGAATTGCTTATTTTTCTTTTATTCAAAACAATTGTACATGAAAAAATGTTGTATCCTACCCGTTTACATTTATATCCATCAATGCTTTGAAGAAGAAGAAAAAAAAGTCAACAAGCAAAGAACGATAACAGTCGGTTAAAAAGTACCATATGCAAACAAATATTTACACTGAAATAGAAAATCTATTTTCAAATAAATTTTTTAAAATACTAAGCGGTTGGTACATATTATATATTTTGTTTTCAATTAAAAAAATATCTTTGTTATATATGATTAATTTTTCAGGGCGGATGACTATTTAGTGAAATATATACATTTTTTCAAACATTGTCAATACAGTAATAAATATATCTATTGGACGAAAGAGGAAAAAAAAATGTTTATGTCATATTTTTGATTAGTTCTAATCGTATATATACATTCATATACGTAATGTCTCATTTGATTTCACCTTCGGCTCGATTAGCATATTTATACATGCGTTAAATTAATGAATGAATGACGATGTAAATAACGAAAAAGTATGTTTCTAAAGACATATACATATCATTATTTGAACAATTATCAGTATATTCAAATAAAAAATTTTTTTTGCTTTTCTTTTACATACTGTCTTATCATCTTCATCATAAGAACAAACAATCTATTTATCTCTTAAGATGGTAAACAGAATATATATATATATATACACTTACAAAAAAAGAAAATGAATCGACTTTCACCTTACCATTATTATTATCTTATCTTCCGTGATCAAGTTAACAAGTCGTTTTTTTTTTCTTTTTCTCTCTCTTTTACTTGTCTTCCGTCAAGGGTATGTCTTCGTTATATGAACTTTCCTTCTTCTGTTTTCTTTTTTTTCTTTTAAATTAAATCTGTTTGTTATTCAGTAGACGGGAACATTTGAATTGAAGCAAAGCATAAGTCAAATGAAGCAAAGCCGACTTTGATTGAGTTCATAGCGTATAACATAGAGATTTTATTTACTATTCTTTGTTCATTCAATATACTCTAAGAATCGTTTAGTGAACTAGTCTTCATAAAAAGCGCATCATTTATTTCTTCTTCGTATATGTGTTGTACCTTTTTTTTGTTTTACTAATAATTGAGAGAAACACAACATATATAATGAATTGAAAAGAGTCTATCTAGGTCAATGATCATGAGTTGTTAATGATTGAAATAAGTAACAGGTTGTCGTGACCTACTTCTTTTTCTTCTTCGTCGTCGTCGCTGTCGAAAGTTGTATATATTGTAAATGAAAAAGAAAATTGTTGATATGCTCATTGTCTTTACATTAGCACTTCGTTATAGAAATAAAGCTTAGCGTCAATATGCGTAATCGATCGACTGTTGTTTGTCATGTGTCTTATCAATATCATCAATACTTGCAAACACTTGTCGATTGTATACATTTATGTTCATCAGCTAATTGGGTCTACCGACTAATTGATGATTGTATAGTAGAATCTAACATAACAATGGTACCATTTAAAAAAAAGGCATATGACAATAAAAACGAAAAGAGGAGGAGTTCAAGAGACGCGATGAACTTTTTTTTTTCTTCTTTTTATGTCTTGTTCCGGTCACCTCTATTCATATACAGTATGTGAAGAATATTGCACATATACAATGTTTATTCTCATTTTGAGGTCACCTAGTTAAAGATCGAAATATGTATGTGCTAAGTGTCTTCATGTGGATATCGTGTTCAATACAATGAATGAGCAAAGAAAGAGAAAAGAAAAACGAAAAAAATTTGTTTTATTATATACGTCGTTGCGGACCTTCCTCTTACTGTCTCGACAGGTAGACAGGATGGATGATGATGATGATGGTGGTGATGATGATGGAGGAAAATAAGAGAACAGAGCAAGGCCAGTGTATATATGTATGTTCAAAAAGCAACTTGAAATGATTCCTTTTTCTTTTCTCATTGTACACTGACCGAAAGAGAGAGAGAGAGTGCGCAAAAACAGAACGGGATATGTCTCCTGTTGTGAGAGAATTGTGTTCTTGAGCTTCCAAGGTAGACGATAAAATTGAAAATAATAGATCTCTCGTCTTGACCTACAATATTTTCGAAGGAAGGAGGTCATTCATAAGCGCTCCTATTCTTTTTAAAATAACAGCAACAATACTCTGAATATAATCAAAATTTCATATTAAACATTCGCTGTCTGTCTTCTACATATTGGTATATCTCACTGTATACTATTTCGCTAAGTCTCCTATATATAATATAAGCATAAAAATGTATCTCTTTTTCGTCGACTAAATTATAACTCATTAAATATTATCATTTAATGACATCGTAGAACAGTGTTTAGGTTTATCTACCTGTGTATTTTTCTCCATGTTGCTTATCTTTTAATTTTTATCTCCTTCGTTCTTTTACTCAGTTAGGTAAATGTACGGAAGTATAGGGAGTCTTGTGAAAATAAATATGTAGAAGGTAAGGTAATGTGTTTCTTCCCTACGTCAATACAGATGACATATTTGAAGGGAAAGATATGATTACATGATGAATATTAAAAAATACATGTAGCAAATATCGTTCGATGATTCTTCTTTTCCGTTATTATGACTTATCAATACATTTATTCTATATTTTTTTTCTTCTTTTTAATATAATATGAATAAACAAATTCGAATTTATATTTTAGTATGGTAGCTAATACTGATACTACATTAAATAATATATCTTTATCGGCAAATAATTATTTTATATCACCATCAATAAAAATGACTTTACCTCCACATTTACGTAAGAAAAAAATTTTGTTTTTTTGATAAATATATATTTTTGTTTTTAAAATTTTAGTTCGTTCAATTGATTTTTGGACAAAAGAAGATGTACAAAAATGGATTGAATATTGTATTGATGAATATGCTTTAGGAGATATTGATGTGAATGATTTTGAAATGAATGGTTAGTTAAATAAAGGAAATTTGAAATGAAATTATCTGTTTTTAAATAGGTAAAGCATTAGCATTATTAAGTGAAGATGGTTTTAAAAAACGTTCATTACGATCTGGAGATATTCTATATCAAGCTCTTCAACAACATAATGCTATAATTAAATCAATAAATTGCCAAAGTAAATATTTTCAATTGGAAATTAAATAATCAAAATTTTTCAAATAGATTTTTCATATCAATTATGGAATAATTTCGGTCTTTTTCCACCGTCATCTATGCGTCATTTTAATATGCCATATCCACCTCTTCCACCACCACCAGCAACTATACCTTATGTACATTCAGCATTTAATTATTTATCTAATCGTTCTGAAACAGACTTTATTGATTCTCAACAATCGATACGAACTCGACAGACATCCAATTCTTCGTCATCATCAGGTTTGTACCTATTATTTTTTTGATAATAAAATTTTCGTTCTTTTTTCTTTCAAGTTATAAAATCTTTAGAAAAAAATGATATTCATCTTCCATTATCATCTGTTAAACAAGAATACATTCATAATGAAGATATTGATACTGAACAACAAGAAACAATGTCAATTCCACATATACTAACATCAAATTCACCAAATATTAATGAATCTCTATTGAGAAAGGTTCCTTCCGGAATATATTCAAGAATAAAACAACAAGTCAATGATGTCGGACATCTAGATGGAAATGATAAAACTAGACAAATACGTTATTATCATGATCGAATTGATTTTCATGGTGATATACTAATGAAACCGAAAGCAGCAAAAAGTAAGATTGTTTATTTTTTCTTCGAATAATGAACGATGAATAAATCATACATTCTTTTTGTCTATTAAGATTGTCGAATTCTATGGGAATTTATATATATTTTACTTGAAGATCCACTTTATGAATCAATAATTCATTGGGAAAATCGTGAAAAAATGATATTTCGAATAAATCAAGCTGATAAATTAGCTGCACTTTGGGGTATATTTAATTAAATTAGTTCTTATTTTTTATTTATTTCTTTAAAAAAGGTCTTCAAAAGAATCGCTTATCAATGACATATGAAAAATTATCACGTGGAATGCGTTATTATTATTCAAATAATATTATATCAAAAGAACAATCGAAACGTTTATTATATCGTTTTATGCGTTCACCGGATGAAATTCGAAAAAATATGAAACGTCATGGTTCAACAGCAACAACAACACCCGCAACAAATATGTTATATCCAATAATAAATAAAAAATCTTCAGCATCATCATCGTCATCATCACCACCTAATACAAATCTTCATAGTCAAGAATTATCTTCATCTCAATTACAAAATCAATTTCTACAATTTTTACCAGCGTATTCATCAATGATATCAAATTTAAATTCCGCAAATAATTTATTATTTCCTACACGTGATAATTCTATATCTAAAAGTGATCGAGCTAGTTCATCATCACCAGAATCATTAGATAGTAATCATGATAGTGAAAAACAATATTGTAGTTCATTACAATCATGTTCGTCAGCAACGAAACGTAAACAAAATATTCCAATATCACTAACGACACGTCTATTGCATAGTTATCCATTTGATCAACCACTTAATTTAGCTGTTTGTAAAGAAGAAGAAAATGTTTACAATTATAAGAACTAATAAATCATTCACATTCGATCAACTGTATTAATCGAACAGTGGAAATTTCAGCTACATTCTTCTTCGTTTGTTTTCGTATAAAAACATATCATTAGACTAAGTAGTAGGTGTAGATCAGTGTATGTATGTGCATTGTTCTTTTGTTCTTTTTTTCCACCATATTAAATGCACTATGTGATAATATAAAACACTGTCTAAAAAAAAGAAAAAGAAAAATCTTTGTAATGTGTATGTTTAATTTGATGAGAGTGATGACAAACAACGAATAAATTGTATATTGTAGTTTTTATTAACATGTGTTTTTTTTTTGTTTTTTTTTTCTTATTTCTGTATACTTTTTTTCTTTATATAATGATGTCTTCCCCGAGTTCTTTTTTTCTTCAAATTTACTTCATAATAAATACAATGAATTCTCAAAAATCATTATCAAATTAGTCCGTTGATATTTTTGTAGGTATTTTTCAGTGTAATATTATTAGTATCCTTCATACTGTCATATTAGTTATTATCGTTTCAACTCATATATTGACGTCACGGTCGAATACTTCACATAGGGTGTGTTTTATCTCTGATATTTATATTTCGTCGTATTTTCGATATACAAAAAAAAGCTTAGATTATTCAAAATAATGGAAGAATCACAAGTGAAATTACCAAGTCGTTATATTGTAGAAGATAAACATTTTGCATTAGACAGTAAATTTGTGATTACAGATGAAACAGGCAATATTTATTATACAGTTGATTCAACTCTATTTACTATGGGTGATAAATTACAAATGTATGATGCTGGTGGTAATGAATTAATAAGAATTCGTCAAGAAAATTTACATTTACATAAAACATATATTATTGAATCAGTTCGTACTGATGCTGATGAAATGCAATTAGCATCAGTAAAACGCACTGGCTTACTTGGACAACATAAACTAGAAATTATTGCTGTTGATGGTGCATATATAATGGAAAAAAGAGGAAATGCGTTTTCGCATGAATTTATGTTGAAAAAAGGTGATGATGTAGTTGCTATTGTAACAAAAGATCCGTCAGCAACGAAAAGTATTTATTGGTTAGATGTATCTGCTGATAGAGATGAATATCGTGCATTTCTTGTAGCTTTGGTAATTGTTCTATCATGTGCACAACGTTTACCGGGTAATCCTCTTTCTACACCTCATGAGGGTAACGCTAAACCTTAAATACAATAATGTTCTATTTTGAATTGAATAAATAATGTTTTTATAGAAAATATGATTCAATTTTTTATTTACATGTCACATGTTTCAAAAGTTTCAATCATAATTTTGATTTTTTCAAATCCTATAAAAAATTATAGAATATCATCATTAAAAATTTATTCGGTTAAATTTCTATTCCAATTGAACAGAAATATTGTAATAATATTTATTTACATTTCTCATAGAGTTTAAACAAAACTTCTCTAATGAATGACGATAAATGTAGTAATGACAATTTGTTCCATTACCTTAGAATTCTTACTACAGATGAGCATGTTTATAAGCGAAAAGCAATAAGACGGAGCAAGTTCGTTTACTAAATAAACTGTTTATATCAAAAATCTTTTTAATTGAATTTTCATCACATTTTTGTTTATCTCACAATCGATGTAATGCAATCAAATACAACAAGACAAGTAATAATTTGTTGTCTGATTATAACTACATAATACTGCATAAGAAATGATCGAAAAGATTTTAAAACTTATTGTTTAACAGGATCATACGAAATAAAAATTAGCTTCTTCTGAAAAATTACATATAGTTATCGTTATTCTTCATTCATTTTATAACTTCTGCTCTCGTGTAGCGATTGACTAAAAGAGCAAGAACGATTTAGTCTTGTTACTCTAACAAAAGGGCAATGAATTCCTTGATATTAAAAACTAGGATTAAAAGATTAAACAAAATAAAGGATGTTGATTACTTCATATAGTTTATCACACCGAAATAACTCTGTTTTATCATAGACTCAGTATCTATAAATAAAGAAATTCGTCGAAAGACGGATATGTAAAAAATATAGCTGATAAAATTAATGATACGCGAATGCATAATTTCAAAAAATACTACTTTTCTATATATATTGGAAAAAAAATTAACAAGGCAACTTATAAACATTGAAAAATCTAATATGTGCTTCTTATTATCTACAAATATACTAAACTTAGATGTAATTATTTACAAGAACTATGAGCTGTAGCTTTTTTTATTTGAAATAAAAAAAAAGATAATAAGATTTTCTTCTAGCACAACGAAAAAGTATAGAATAACATGTATAGCGTATTCGAATTTGATTGATATGAACAGCGGATATTCATGGAATGATTGTCTTTCTTGATGATTAATGTGTGATAATATGGTTCATTGCTTAATGAAATTTGTTCGATAAAGTTCAAAGAACAATGAATCTTCTCTTAACAAACAACACTTTTTTTTTTCTTATGATAAGATGTGCCCTTCAATAAAAAAGGTTAGTTTATTCAAAGGATTTTATTTATAACAACATCTAAATAGTCTATAGAACTAGTGTAAACAACTGTTTTCTTATCTCTCTTAATTCTATTATGATTAAGAAAACTATACATTTCCGTAGTTTATGAGATAAGTAGATGTCATTATTTATGAATTCATTGGTTATTCAATGAAAATCAATTTAAGATGATTCATATTACCTTTTTTTTTTAAAGAGAGAAAAAGAATTAAAGATTTTTTATTATCATGTTTTATAATGGTGCTCAACTCATTTCTATTTCAGATGGATCGGTTGAGTGTTGTACTCATCTGTCAATTGCATCTCTTTATTACAATCACTGCTTATCAATCATCAGAATTTTTTCCTTTCTTTTCTCAAAATGATACAAAAAATTTTGAAAATAATGAACAATTCCAATATAATACTCCTATTAATCATTCGATTTATCGTCGACAAGCTTCATTAAATATTCTTACATCTCAACAAGCACGCATACCGATTACACCTTCATACATAATTCTTGGTCCACGTGTAGTTCGACCAGCACAGATAGTTTCTATAAGTGTTACTATATTACGTAAAACATGGAATCCAATTATGGTTAAAGCATTAATATCCAATGATGATATGGCTATTGCTGCAGCTGAAGATCTATTTACAGTAAATGTACCACGTACATTACAAATGCGAATACCAAAAAGTATTCGTCATGGTACATATCATTTAACTATTCAAGGAACATTATTAACAGGTGAACAAAAATTTTCTAATATTTCACAATTAATATTTGAACAAAAAGCTGTATCAATTCTTATTCAACTTGATCGACCAGTTTATCGTCATGAAACTGTTATACAATTTCGTTGTATACCTATTTATCCAGATTTAAGTGGTTATTTTCATACACTTGATGCATATATTCTTGGTCCATCGGGACATATTTTACGTAAATGGGAAAATCAACAAACAACAGCAGGCATAGTTTCACTTGAAGTAGATGAATTTTTAAAAAAAAATTATCTTGTCTATTATCTTTTCGTTTAGTATCCCATCAATGATGGACCACCAGAAGGATTTTGGACTGTTAAATGTCGTGTTATGGGTTATGAAGCAACCAAACAATTTGATATACATGAATTTTATAATCGAAAATTTGAAGTTAATGTTACTGTTCCATATTATTTACCAACTGATACTCCGGGCATTGGCGGAATTCTAACAGCAAATTATACAACTGGAATGGGTGTACTTGGTTATGCACGAATCGTTGTTCGTGCACGTAATATGTCTACAGCATTTGATCCATATAATTATCCATTAGCAGATGTTGAATTTGATAAAACAACACCTTCATATACAACAACAATTCAGGATTTTAATGGTGTTGCTGGATTTTTTATACCAATTCAAAATATTCGTACACTTCTACCAGATTTAGATGGTAATGAACTGTTGATAACTGCTGTTGTACATGATCCATGGTGGAATGAAACAAACAATGGTTAGTATGACATTATTATTATTATTAAATACCTAGTGAATAAAGTTTTAAGATCTGTAGAAAGGATAATAAAACCTTTTTTTGTCAAAGTATCATAAAACACTTGAAAGAATTCGTTTAATATTAATCATTTTTTCATAGATTGAAAAATTAGAATGTGTAAATTATATTTGAATTATGTCTTGTAATTCAAATTGTTTGTTTCAGGTACAACTATTGTTTCCTTCTATACACCTGGTACACGTCTTCGTTTTCTTGGTGGACCATCGATGGTATTTAAACCTCGCATGATTTTTACTACCTATGTAGCTGCTACTAATGTTGATGGTTCAAAATATCCTCCTGGTCCTGGTCGATATATTCGTATTTATACTGATACAGATCTTGGTCAATCACAAGCACCTATAGATTATATGATTGATTCATCAGGTATAATTCAACATAAATTTTTAGCTCCAGCTGATCTTCAAGTAACATTTATACGTTTACGTGCTGAATTATATAATAATAATATAAAAGTCGAAGGTAGTTATGATGAACAACGTGCTATACGTTATTTATCACCATCAAATAGTTATTTACAAGTAACATCAAGTACAGAAAAACCACGTGTTGGTGATTTTATGTTATTTCGTGTTAATATAACACAATATGTTGATTCTGTTTATTATCATATAACATCAGCAGGAAAATTAATATTTACAAATATTCTTCCAATGGATGGTGCACGACAGAAAACATTCGATGTTGGTATTAGTCGTGAAATGGCTCCATCAGCTCATATATTAGTTTATTATGTACGTTATGATGGTGAAATTGTTGCTGATAGTATGAATTTTCATATAGATACATCATCGGTTACAAATCATGTTAATATAACAGTAAATCGACGAAAAGATTTTACAGGAAATACAATTGAAGTTATAGCATATGCTTCACCACAATCCTATGTTGCATTTGCTGGTCTTGGCCTTGTACAAACACGTTTATTTCCACCAGGAAATCATTTTACTTTAGTTATAGTAAGTTTTCATTACTCTTTAATATTTAATTTCGTTCGCTTTTTTTAGATTTATGATGAATTATATTCATTTGATCGTTATTCAACAACAAGTTTTCAACATACATGGTATTCTGATATAAATATTGCATCACATCGAGTTTTTTTCTCATCACAATCTTATGGTTATGATGCTGGTTCAACATTTAATTCATCGGGTATGCAAATATTTACCGATGTAAATATTCAAGCTATACAACAAACAGCATGTAATCAATTTGGTTTATTACAATGTACCGATGGTTCATGTTATCCATTGTCATTAAGATGTAATAATGTTCTGGATTGTCGAGATGGTTCAGATGAAGTTGACTGTATATATAAAATTTTTCAAAGACTATCTTTATCTTTTCGTGAATATTTTTAGGTAATGTAACAATAAATGCAAATCGATACAATTTTACACCATTATATCTACGTCTATGGCCATTTTGGGAACGTGAATTACAACTTGATTTTATGTGGCATCAACAATTTGCTTATCCTGATGGTCGTGTACAATTTCGTACAACTGTACCGAATGTTATTGCAACATGGGTTATAACAGCACTTGCTGTTAGTCGTTTAACAGGTTTTGGTATTGTTGATGTACCATTTATATATGAAGGTACAAGACAATTTTTTATTAAAGTTGAAGTTCCACCGATTGTTCGACTTGGTGAACAAGTTGGTGCACGTGTTGATGTATTTAATTTTCAACCACATCGTATTGAAGCATTAATTATTTTACATGCATCGGATGATTATCGTTCTGTTAATATTGGTCAACGTGGTATAGTATCATCATATTCACCAAAATTAACTGAAGGACAACATCATGTACTTGTTATTTTATATCCAAATGAAGTACGAAGACTTTATATTCCATTTGTACCTATTGTTGCTGGTGAAATTGAAGTTATGATTGAAGGTATAAATTTTATCTGATAAGAAAAAATGTCTTTACATTTTCAGTCAAAATGAGTACATCTATAATGAAATATACATTTCTTTGATAAAGAGCATAATCTTGTTTTCTTTATTCGTATAGGTATTACTGGAGTATCTCGTGATTTTTATCGTGAAGTAATAAAAGTTAATTATGAAGGTATACGTAATTATTATCATACACCAACTGTATTATTACTTAATAATTTACCAAGACAAGTCAATGAATATGATATTACTGTACCTGAACATTTTATTCTTCCATTAGCAAATACTTGGGATTACATTTCTGGTTCAGCAACATGCGAAATATTTATATCCGGTGATGTAGCTGGTCCTTATTTCCTATTAGGTTATGATGAATGGTTAAATACTGATAATTTAATTCAACGTACAACTGCTCCAGGTGATTCTGGTATTTTTGATTTTGCTATGATGATTTATAATCTTCGCTATATGTTACAAGGTAAATAAGTTTTGAATTTATTTAAATATGAAAAAAGTACAAGAAAAGCTTCTTTCTATTTCATTATATTCTTACTTATATAAATATATTTTAGGTCATGGTGGTCGTGCATTTGATGAACAAAAATTATTGCAAGTATTAATTTATGCCAATATGGAATATCTTCGTTTTATGGCAATGTATGTTAATAGTTATCCCGATGAACCATGGCGTGAAGGTTCATTTAGTCAATTTGGTTTTAATAATGAAACATCAGTATGGATGACAGCTTGGACATTAATGACATTACGTGATGCTGTTTATCCGGAATGGGAAGAGAAAGGTTTATATATAGATCCAAATCTTCGTTCAGATATTGTTAAATTTCTTATAACAAATCAGAAAACAAATGGTACTTGGGCGGAAACAACAACTGTTGAAGATCGAAATAAATTTGGTCTTCGTTTAACAAATGTTAGTGGTACATATCAACAATTGAATTTATCTTTAACAGCACAAGCTCTTATTGCTTTACAATTAAATGTTGATATACGTGGAATCCCGGCAAAATATATAACAGGTGCTATTCAACGAGCAAAACAATGGTTAGAACAACATTTTCGTTTAATTAATGATGCATTTGATATGGCAATTGTTACATATGCATTACATTTAACCAATAGTGCAGAACAAGATGCTGCATTTGCTAGATTAACTGTATTTAAACGAATGAGTATGTAAAAATAAATATGAATTTTGAAAATATTATGTTGTATTTTAATTTAGATGAAAATGGAATTTACTATTCAAATTTAAATCTACCAGCAATGACAAAAACATGGCCGAATGTTAATCCACGATATGGTCCAAAACCAGTATCAACAAATTTTGAAGCACATGCTGTATCTGCAACAGCTTTTGTAGTTATGACATATACTCATAAAGCTAGAGTGAAAGAAGCTGAACAAGCTGGTAAGTTTTAACAAAAAACAAGAAGACATATTATAGAATACTGATGTATTAAAACAATATGTGATATATCGAACACACAATACACTTTCACTGACTAGAAAATATTGTAATGAAGGATGTCTATCAAACAAAGAGTTCATAACAATGACGTGTTCAAGAATAGTTCAAAGAATTCTATTATTATAGTTGCAAGACTTGTTGTGTATAATAATGAATGACATTGAGAAGTACTTTAAAAACTTATGTCTTTGAAAATCGAATCTACATATGAGAAAAAATCTTAATCCGTTTTAACTTCTATTGATTACGAGCTTGAACTGTTTGTATCGTAGTTATAACTTATCAAGTGAATTAATATTTGAGAAAATACAGTATCCCATTTCTTGAATTCCTAGTTTTATCTTAACCATAATCTTACTCATTAATTATAATAAATAAATAACAGAATTCATAAAGGAGAGAAACTTTATGTTTATTATAACAAAACCTATCCTTGAATTTTTCTATATTCTCATACTTTCGATTAGTATTATGGCTTCAATCAATGCGTAATTTTATTGGTGGTTGGTCTGCAACATATGATTCTTGTATGGCACAACGTGCTATAGTTGGTTATGCTGTATTACGTGGTTTCGAAATTACAGCTTATAATATACGTATTAATTTAACATCGTCATCATCAAATGAAGAAAGTCATGATCCAGTTGTAATTACAGATGGAAATCTAATTGATACACAAGTTCGTGATGTAGAACGTGCTTGGGGTGTAGTTTATATCGATGGATTTGGTAATGGTTATGCACTTATTCAAGTATAGAGCTTTAAATAAAATTAAAATATAAAATAAATATTTTCTTTATAGATGCATGTTGGTGTTAATGTTGAATTTAATGATAAAGTACGTCGTCCAGCTTATGTTCCATTTTATGTTGATGTTCAACCGATGTTATCTGGTCGGAATTTTTCAACAATTGATTATCATATTTGTCTTTCTTGGCGTACAGAAAATGTAGATGTATTAAAAGCAACACATAGTGGATCAATGTTTTTTGAAATTCAAATTCCAACTGGTTATCGTGTTGAAGAAAAAGATTTAAAAACAATGATCTGGGGATTTCATACACGAAATTTACGTGAAGCTGAAAATTGGCCTGGTCAAGTTAATTTTGGTTTCGAATATATAGATTTTAATCCAATATGTTTTCAATTTCAAGCTAAACGTTGGATACCAATAGCAAATATTTCTCGTTATTATGAAGTAAGAGCTTATGAATGGTTTGAACCAGCAAATATAAATCGAAGTGTTTATACATTAAGAAATTTATTTGCTTTAGATATATGTGAAGTAAGATTAATTGATAGATATATATTTTTATTCAAAAGAATTTATTTTTAAGGTTTGTGGATCATATCAATGTCCATATTGTCCATATTATGGTCAAGCAACAGTATTTATACAATCAATAACCATGATTATTTTAGCTTTATTTATTGTTTTCTACAATCATGTAAATTTAATAATATTTCATTGAGATAAAACGAATGAATTTAGAAGTATATTGTAAAACGTTTAGTATAAATTGTTTGTATATCAATAATTCTAAGAAAACTCTTGTTTTTTTTTGTTAGACTTTGTACAGATTTTTATTTTGCTAATACTAATAATTGATTTTAACGAATAATTGAATTTTTATTGCAAAGAATAAAATATACGCATTCCTTCTTTCGGTGGAATGAATTTTTATCTCCTGAAATATATTTCGAGGAAGATAAGATGTTAAACGATTAAAATAACCGTTATATTTATTCACATCAATCAGAATTTCAAATACAAAAAGAATTCTTTAAATAATTAACCATATATATAAAATATTGATTCTTTCAAGAAACTACAGAACTAACAAAATATAAACTAGCAGTTATAATCATTTTTTGTCCTTAACATTGTCGAAGGCATGAATAGATTGTTGGAGGAAAAAAAACGAGATTCAGAAACATTTTCTATTATTATTTGTTTTGACAATATTTCTTTCATTGCTTATATTCAGATAACTCAATTGTAGTTTACATAGCCCTATTAAATATGATTATCTTAATTATAATCCGATGGTAATTTGAAGTTAAATCTCCATGAAAAATAATTATATATATATATATATATATGACTTAGAATGATGAAAATTGTGTATATCAACATAATAGATCTCATTGATTACACTTAAGCAATTCATATCAATATAAGAGGATCAATCAAAATATAGCTTTTTTCTTTTATTTATTTTTAGAATTATTCTAAATGCATGTTGACTTCTTCTATATCAGTTTGATCTTCGCTTTTTACATCCGGAATGATCGTATGTAACATCCGAAAACATTTCCGTTGTTAACGAACTATTCAACTAACTTTTTTTAATAGCAATACTTTCTGTTTATAGGAAAAAAAAAATTTATCCACTATTGAAAGTATCCTATTATATTAATCTTTCTTCAATTGATAAATTCTAATGATTATTTTTTTCAAGTGTAATAATAAATAGAAATCTATATATAAACGTATCTCAATCAAGTGCACCAAATATGGATTTAGTATTGTTTTAAAAGAAAATAGCAACAAAAATCTCAAGATCAAATTGTCGACAGACAAACAGCATTTTTATTCCACAATAAAAAGAAACGCTCTTTTCAATTGTAAAAAAAATAAAACAATCTGTTATGTCTACAAATTTTATTTTAAATAAAGAAAAAAAGAAGAAAAAAAACGAGGTGGATATTACATTGAGTTTTTAGTAACATTCACTTGAAGCAATTGTTTGCGTGCACACACACATATTCATACAAAATCCAATGTCTACATATAATAGCAGGGTAAAAACTTTTTAAATATATATTGAGAAAACATTTTTTCTTCTTCTATAAATTCATATAATGAACAATGGATAATTGAATAGTCAAAATATGATAATGTCTAATATGCAAAAAAGTTGACTATCAATAAAATATTTACATATATATATATGTAAAAACTACAGTGAATTCCCTTGTCATTGGCTCTTTCTTGTTTTCTCACACATTGACAATAAGAAAAAATCTTTTTCCACTGATAAATCTCTATAGATTATTCATGAAGAAAAAAAGTCTATCCCATGTAACATTAATGCATTGTCCTTCAACCAATTTATATTTCTATGATGTTCGTATATATAAACTATAAATGAATGCTTATGAATAATAACAAGTGTAAATCTATAATCAACTATTTGTATTGATTCAATTCAACCTACACAAATACAGACTCTCTTTTCTACTTTTTACAGTCATCAACTGTGTCACGACCATACATCGGTTCAGGTCGTAATCGACAATATATTTATAACAAATTATCGTCACCATCATTATTATCGAATGATTATTTTTTTTCATCAAAATCATTTTTACCTAATCAATCGAAGTATAGAAATTATTTATCAAATGATTTGCCTGTCGATACATTACAAGAACGAGTTGATAAAGAATTTATTTCTTCTCCGACTTTATTAGACGAACGACAATTGTATCAAGGGCAGAAAACAAAAGATTTTCTATCTTCATCATCTTCATCATCACTATTTCTTCTCCCGACTACTCAAAACAAGACATCATCATTTCATACTTGTTACGATCTCTCGTCTTCTCCGTTTACTAAAGAACAACAACAAAAAATTCCACAAAACGAATCACAATATTCATATTATCAATCATCGCCTAGTGGATATAAAAATAATCAATCTTTTTTATCCGATCAACTTGAATATTCACAAAAACGAAAATCATTTCCAATTGAAAATTATCATATTGATCGAAATAATAATTCAATAGAAGAAAAAAATTCATTTTTATCACCAAGATTATTTAATGAAACTATTGTAGTTAATAAAGATAACGATAATCAAATTTATTCAAATTATCATCCGAAAACAAGTGATACAATTTTTTCTTTATTATCATCATCAACATCGAACGAAAACAAATCTTCATCAAAACTATCCAATAATATTTTTGATCGATCATCATCTTTAATATTTCCTACTGATCATCGTTATAAATCTGATAGTTGGAAATATCCGAAGATGTCAATAAATTTAGATAACAATTCTGGATCAACAAAATATTCATATGAACAACGTATAAGTGATCAAGGTAATAAATATACCATTCAACTTACAACAGATAATTTTGAAGAAAATGAATTTAAATTAACACCATATTATTCTCGACATGAATTAGTTGTTGATGCTAAACATGTTGAAGAAGATAGTTATGGTGGTTTTATTCGTCGTGAATTACATAAAATATTTCCGATACCAAAACATATTGATTTAAGTAAACATACATATACATTTAATAAAACAAAACAAGAATTAATTATTGAATTATCATATTTACATTCAACAACAACAAATGAAAATAAAATGGATTCTTCATTTATATCATCTATTGTAGAATCAAATCCATTATCAACAATGTTATATGGTGATCGTCATTCAACAAATCATTATAATAATAATACAGATACTAATAATATAAATCGAATTCCTCCATCAATGAATGATTCAACAAAAAAAACAACAACATCAGTAACTGTTACAACAAAAAATGATCCATCAATAGGAAAAACTAAACCATTTGATTTTGATTTATTTCATCGATCAGCTTTTCAACCACAAATTCTAGCTGGAACATCCAATGATAATACACATGAAAAAAAATTACTTATGTCATTAGATTTAACTGATTATCAACCTGAAGATATTCAAGTATCAATTAAAGATCAAGAATTAATTGTAAAAGCTGAAAGAAAAACTCAAACTGATACACGTAAATCTCGTACATCATTTTTTCAATCAACAAGTTTACCACCACAAACCGATATTGAACATTTAAAATCAAATTATATTGACGGAAAATTAGTTATTGAAGCACCATATCTTGAACGAAATATTAAAACAGCGAATAATACTACAGAATCCCATAAGTAAGACATACATATATATAAATCATTTAATGACAACTAGTCTTTGTCGTTGCTTCTAATTAATGTATCTATCTTTAATCTTTCTTATATATCTAATTTTTAATCATGTATATATGCTTTTACCAATTAATTTGTGTGGATATGTATAACTAAGAATATAACTAGATATTTTTAAATATCATCTTATATGATCTATAGTTAATATGAAAAATTCAATTTCTATAGATCTATAAATATTTCAATAATCATTTGCTTTTGGATTGTATTTGTAATTTAGTGTTTGTTTTTTTTGTCTTGTTGATAATTTTAAGTATATATGTGTGTGTGTATATATAATATTTTAGTGATACAGTTATTAAATCAGAACAAAAATCTGTTGAAGAAGATCCATATCAACAACGAACAGAAACTGTTATAGAATTTATTCGTCGTCGTCGATTATAATTTTAATATTAAATTTTCATGTGCGTACAATTATTTTAACCGTTTTATGTTTATATATGTGTGTGTAGAACAATTAATCAAAAAAAAATGAAAGATACATAATGTATTTACACATATATAAACAAATTCCGTTGACTAATGTCATTGGTGTAATCTTCTTTTTTTTCCTAATAAAAAATAATATGAAAATAAATAAATGCATATCAACAAAACTATGTTTATAAACATAGATTGATTTTGTTTAGATAAGCATTTTTTTTTCTATTGTAAAAACTAATCTATTTTCAAAATGAAACGTTTTTTTTCTCTATCCTATTTTATTAATCTAAGTTTTTTCTTTGAGATTATTTTTAAAAAAAGATATATTATTTTAATAAACTATTATGATTATATGAAATAAATAAAAACATTCATTTGAAACATCTATAAGTATTTAAAACAATGATCAAGGACACACAATCTTCTTATATTTCGTCTATATAAAACAAACTAAATTACTTTTATTGATACATCATTAAATCACTTTCTAATAATAGGTTTTCTTTTAAATTAGTTCAATAACAATTCGGATTTTTCTTTTTTCTTATATAAATATTCTCTATGATTTATTATTCAAAAAAGCTGACTAACACGGCACATATATATTTATATAAGATAATAGTGAAGTACGTGTATTATTAATAATGAACGTGTCATTTTTAAAGTCTTTTAATATTAGATCGTAATGAGGATTACTCTTTCTTTTAGAATGTATTAGTATGTTTTTAACTATATTCATTCTTTTAAATACTAGAAGACATTCTTCCTGTTTTGCTTTTTGTATATAAGATCAAAAAATTATTTGCTATAAGATCACATACAATAATCAATCAATCTTCATGAAGCGTTATATAAAAAAGAGCATATAAATCTTTATTCTTCTCGGATGTTTTGTTAAGTATTCACAAATTGTTAATGACCGATAGAATTACGAATTTATTTTTTCTTCATCGGATTGATTCAATTATTATATACAACTATCCACTTATCAAGCTTTTTATTGCATCATACATTTAACTAATTATATGCTCTTTTTATCATCTTTCATATAGTTCAGTTTGATTAATCTATACATTAGCATATACTGCTAGTCCTATTTAGTAAAAAGAAGAACAAGAAGAAGAAGAAGAAGAAGAAGAAGACGAAGAAAGAAAACGAGAATATTCTGGAGTAGTGTTAATGATGGTCTGTACTCAGTATGCTATTATATTTAATTCCATGTCATTATTCTTTTCAAAGAAAGTAAGTAGAAATCTTCTTTTGAATAAAAAATAAAACGTATAGTTTATTAATATAATCATTTCCGGTTAGATAAATTTTGCGAAAAAAAAATATTATTTAACTTTATCATTATTCATCGACTGTTCTTTTTTTTGTGCCATTGAACAATCGAATCATAACAATTAAATTTTTGTGATGTCATATGAATAAATAATGACCAGATGGCAAGTCGTCGAGTTCATCTGACAACTTATAATAGAGAAAGAAACGAAAAACATATTTTAAGTGTATCCAACGTTATGTTCTTGATTAATTAGAAGCAGAAAAGAAAACATGCCTTGAATTTTTAATATGATAAGTACTTTGAATAAAACCAAGGTAAAAGGAACATCCGATTGAGCTATAGTTCATGTTGTTTGAATACTTTCTTCTATTGATGATTTATCTTCCAAAAGACAAAAAAATGATTTTAAGTGTCAAATAAATTAAAAATAATTGATTTTGATATAACGAAACAATTTTTAATGGAACTGTCAATTGTATTATTTAATATGAATGTCTCATGAGATACTTGAGGGTTTTAAATTCTTACGTTATTAATCTGTTTATATTGTAACATGTTTTCTACTATAGTAATTATTATTTTTGATTTTTATTTCATTTCTATTTTACCCTTCGACCATAAAACAAAAAGAAAAAGAGAAATGATCTATTTTTAGCTATTTACTTAATCTTTATGACGAAAAGTATTAAAAAAAACGGATGTAGATTTGTATAAAGCTTAATGAAAGGAAAAAAACTAGCAAAAAACGTTCCTTTTTCTCTTCCTACTTATTTGTACTTGTCGATATAGCGAGAAGGTTTTTATACAAAAAAAAAGAAGAAATTCATTGACAGAATGTATGATAATATATAAAAATAAAAAAAAGAATTTTTATTGTGTTACTCTCATATAGAACAATAAAATCTACTGATGTTTTGTCATAATAATAGATATGAACGAAGTGACAATTGTTACACTATGTCAAATACTGTCAAATTTAACTCATCAATGTAGTCTAGTTGAAAACTCAAATATACATGTATGTCGATGTGTTGGTAATATTATTAATCAAAGTAGAATTTTCTTTATTTTTATAAACTAATTTTTATGCATATAAATATATGTTTAGTGTCACCAGTAGTAGTTGGTAGTACAGCTCCTGATATAATGTTAAGTGAAATAATTTTAATTCTGTTTGTTTTGGCTATATGGTTATCCGCAATTGGCTTTTGTCTTAATCAATATAAATCTCTTCGTCGTCTTGAAACTCAAGCACATTATTGTATTGATCGTAAAGATCCATTAAATATAGGTGATATTAAAATTGTTGCACGTGAACAAGATTCAATTATATATAAGAAAAAACGTTATTCAACATTACTTGATCCAAATCTAACTCATCCAAATTTACAAGCTATGCATTATGTTCAACAATATTTACCAAAACGTCCAATCACAACAACTGCACCAACACTTTCAGCGCTTGTTATAGATGAAAATGACCTTACATGTAAGATTCCTTTATCAGCAACAACTGGATTTCATTCATCAATTCATACGCCATTAAATACACATGATGAAGAAACTGAATATGAAACATTAATACCGAATTCAAAAACTAACACAGAATCTAGTATATATAATAGAAATATATCAAATTTTGCTCATAAAGGTAAAATCTAATTTTTCTAATAACTATAATTAGAATACAGTTTAATGAAATATATTTTTTCTTTCGTTTAAATAATATATAGAAAATGCTTTTTAAAGAACTATAAGCTTTTAATTTAAATACATCATTCAATAATTAATAGGATTTTATAAAGAATTTCTTTTTGATATTCTATTCATTTTTATCCTTTCTAATTATTTGAATAATTATATTTTTTCTTTTTGTATAGAACATGCTCGTCATTCGACAGCTCTTACGATTCCATGTATATCTATCGCAAATAGTTTACATTCATCATGGAATACTTCACAAATGTATGATGCAAGTTGTTCAGCTCAACTTTTATCCGTTCCAATAAATAGTCTACGAGCTAATCGTCATTCTGATGGTAATATATCATTACCAGTACCACATATGAATCAAAATAATCCTCAACATTTTAATGAACAATTACTTGATCCTCGTTTAATACCCGATACAGTTCGTCGAAGTTTATTAGCATTACATCGTGAAAGTCAAGAAAATATAAATTTATTTAAAAGAAAAGATAAAACTCAATCAGAAAATGATGTACATGGAGCATTAACACCATGGAAAATGAAAATGATATCAAAATTAAAACATACACATCCACAATTAGAACAAACATCTCGACCACATGCAAATACACTTTCAATTCTACCATATAGACTTCATTATAATAATTATGATCGATATCCGTTAGAGAATATTCCAGCAGTTAATAATGAATATCAAAATACAAGATCAATTCAACAACATTACTCAATATCAACAACACCATCAATTCGACGAAGTTTAAAAAATTACCCAAAATTTTCAACACAAAGTACAAGTGAAAGTGAAGGTACACAAGGAGAATTAGCAACATTTACAAGTTTTTATATACCTACAAATGATGATAAATTAACTGAAACAATTATTGAACTAACTGAAAAAACTCCATGATATAACTACCTTTTGTTTTATTTATATACACCGGTGAACTTCGTTTTTTTTATAAATATATAGTTAATAAATTTAATCAACTAAAAATTTATTATGAATGTACTTTTATCGAGATTTTAAATTCTAACTCTAATAAAACAACTCATTGAAACGAATTAATATCTACGATTAGAATGGCTTTCGATCGATATAGATCTTAGGATTTTACAAGATCAAGTAACATAAGTATCGCTTTATTACAGAGACTAAAATTTTGGTAGGCTATATTCAATATTAGTCACTGTTATATTAAAAAATATATAAAAATTAAAAAATAGTTTCTTCGGTTCCATTCTCAGGTTCAACATGTTTACCGACAATAAGTGAATGTTGATATGCATTGAGTTTCAATGGAATTTTATCTATATGTGGTGCTCGACCTATAATATGTAATTATATTGATACATATTATTAGTTAATAATACATACTAGCTGTAGCTAATTCCAATGGCCAATGTGTACATGTAACACGATCTCGCACAAAATCTTCTCTTAATTCACGAAATTCTTCTAAACTTTCATATCGAACTCCATCAGGTTCAAACAGGGATAATGGACTCATACAAATGTATGCCACAATACGTAATAATTGTGTTTTTGAAAATGTTTCATAATCCGGTTTATCAATAAGAGCCGGTGTATTACAATGAATACATCGTGAATCCCAAACAATAAGATCTCCTGCTTTACATTGAACTAAACGAGGATGTATTGTTTCGGTTACTTCAGATGGCATTGCTACAAAATCACCCCATAGACGTTCTTCATCAACAAGAAATTGTAAATTAATAAAGTTTTTATGTGAACCAGGCACAATAACAAGGCCACCCGTTGATTCATTATTATCAGTTAAAGAAACAAAACCTTGTACTGAACAACGATCAGGTTTTTTAAATGGATTCTAAGAAAAATATTGAACAAAACACGAAGTCATTTATCAATACAAAACAACAAATTATATATTTACTTGATCACAATGATACCAACCACTATCAGTTTTCCATTTTTTATTGAAATGCCAATTACGAAAACAACCCGCTCCATCAAAAGATGTAAATAATTCATTGGAATTCCATATATGAGAAAAAACTTTTTTTATATTTGGAACACCACGTAAATACCACATAAATTCTGATTGACCAATACCATGATCATTTAATAAACCAATATTAGTTGATCCAGGCCTATTTGTTGTTGTTCTTTTAATATTTCTAGATTTATAATTTTAAAATTAACTTACCAATTTATATCCCATGCTTCAGGATTATTACGTCGAACATAACACGGTCTTTTTAGATTTTCTAAATGTTTCCATAATAGATCGACACTATTATTTACTTCATCATCCGTAAGAATATTACTGAATACAGCATAACCATATTCAGTTAAATAATCAACACCTTGCTGAAGTTCTTCGGCATCTTGAACTGAAAATCGTGGAGGAATCACTTCATAATTCACATCGACTTCTGATATTTTTTTGGCTTTTGATGCATACATTTCACTAAATGATATTGATGAAGTAACATTTGATGTGTTGTATATAAATGTTTGACTATTGTTAGCAACCGGTACTTTTGAAATAGATAAGAAAATGATGAAATAACAAAAAACGACATAAACATGACGACATATGTAATTAAGTAATAAAAAAACGGTTTAGATTATTTCTTATATCTTAATTTATTAAAAAATTAATTTATATTGATAATATAATATATATTCAATATTTAAACATATGTCTATAATAAACTCTAATCAGTTAGCGACATCTTATTTTATTGTATTAACAGAAAGGCAAACTTACATAACCAATGGAAAATCTACTCTATTAGTTTTTCTCTTCTCTCAATAATTTTTGTTATTGTCTTCGTAACTTAAAACCATCTGGTCTGGTTCATTCTAAATGGCTGCTATTGCTAATCGTGTTACAGCGCTTGTTCCTAAACTTGCTCTCCGTAAGTTGTTTTTCCTCTATAAATATGATCTAATTTTCGAAATTATTTAATTTAATTAATAGCTGTAGCACGTTATGGACAATCGAAATTGTCTCGTTTCTGGTACTTTGCTCGTGTTGAATTACGACCACCGATGCCAAGTGAATTCGGACAAGTTCAACAAGGATTACAACAAATCGTTAAATCAGCTTCAACAGGTGCATGGCGCAAATTAACTGTTAAAGTAATTCTATTCTTTTGATCTATTTTATAATCTTTTCTTTTTTGTTATTACAAATATAGCAATTTGGATTAAATACATTAGTTGGCCTTGAAGTTATGTTCTGGTTTTATATTGGTGAATGTATTGGTCGTGGTAGTATCATTGGTTATCGACCTGGCCGTAGTGAAGGCATCCCAGCTCCTTATAAATACTTTATGTGATCCGTATTTTTTTCTTTCTCTATAGAACAGTGTCCATCCTTTATATTTGTTTATCTCTTGTCATCCGTTTCATTTTCTTTTTCTAAAATAAAAAACCAAAACATAGGTGTATGAATTAAATAACTTATGTATTTTTTAGATAAGCAATGAGTGCTGACGATATGAATGAAACGTTCATGATTCGATCATCGACACCTGAAGCGGTAAGTGATGATAATGACATAACAATCGAGAAAGTTCAAACAAAATTAACACAAGTTCAATTAAAAACAACATTAAGTGATGAACCCAGTCAACACAATCAAACACAACGACATCAAACACCACCTATGGAACTTATTAGTTTACCAAAAACTCAGGATAATATTGTGGTAAATTATTCTATTTTTTTTCTCTATTTTGATTCTAAAATTTGAGGTATTCTTTAGTTTCCAAATGTTATTGATCTTAATGTTGGAGGTTGTCGTTATACAACAAGTTTATCAACATTAAGAAAATATGAAGATTCATTATTGGCAGTTATGTTTAGTGGAAGATATGATCTTATAAAAGATGAACATGGAAATATTTTTATTGATCGTGATGGAACTCATTTTGGGTAAGATACATAAAATCATATATTGTTGTTGTTGTTTTTTATTAAAAAGTCAAGAACATATGTAAAGTTTATTAGATTAAGTTTTGAGCTTATGATGATTTGCTAATTCACTAATCTCTGAAGATAGAATCCCGATTTTTATAGAAAGAATAAATTAATGAACAACAAAAGAAGATACCGACGGCTCTGTTTAGTGTAAAAATGCATCGGTAATCCTCAGAAATGAGTAATTATATAAAAAAATATATTATAATAACGATTTTGGTATTATTCTAAAAATGTTATTTTTTCACTAATGAAGTATGCATGTTCTCATTAATAAAACAATATACCATAACTAATGAATAAAAAGTAGAAAATGAGAATAATGTATCCTATTTATATATATTTTAAAAATAGCGGAAGTGTTTATTTCATGATGATCACTATAACACTGAAAAGCAAATCCTAATTTTAAAAAAACTTTTTTTTCGTTAATATTTAGTCATATTTTAAATTATATCCGTTGTGATCAAATGCCACCAGAATCGATTGCATTGAATGTTTTACGTGAAGCTGAACTTTTTTGTATTAATTCATTAATTGGTAAATTAGAAAGTTCAAGTCCACGTGTTATATCTTTACGTCGACGAGAATCATTTCGTCGTCTTATACCTGATTATGAACACATGAAAAAGGATATTATAAATCGATCAGCTGAAAAACGTTCTTCATTCCATGAATCACGTGTTGTTATAACACAACTTGACCATTCGAAATTAAAAGGCACAATACCATGTTATAATTGTAGCCGTGAATTTGTTACAGTTAATCATGGTATATTTGAAATTTGAAATTTATTATGTATTAATAATTTTTATATATTTAGCTTGTGCTTTCGATGGGCTTACAGCTGATTTAGAAATTCAACAACAACTTAAACCTATTCAAACAGATATACATATTGATATGGATAAACTTGTTGCGTAAGAAGAATTTTTATAAAATTGAAATAAAGAATCAAATATTTTCTTTAGATTTGTTGTTGATGAACTTGTTCATGATGGTTTTAAAGCTTCAGTTGAACGTATAACATGTCGTTTTAGTGTTCGTTGTCAAAGTTGTACTCTTAGTGGTTTATATACAGCAGGTGGAATTTTAGCACCAAGAGAATGTCAGAATGTTGCTCATGTCATCAAATTTATCTGGTCATAAACTTCTTTTAATCTCATCTATTTTTTTCGATTTTCTTGTCTTTTATCAAATAATGAATTGTCTTTTACATGCTTTATTCTAGTCAACATCATATGCCTTTATTTTTTTATTATCTGCCGATCTATATTTTGTTTTTTCGAGAATGCATTGTAATTATTTTTGCTTATTAAAAAAGAATATGACATATTTGTATGCTTAAAGTAATTGCTAAATAATAATTATTGGCTTTTCAGTTATAAATAGATAAATTAATTTACTGAGATACTGTTTTTTAAGACTTAATTAAAACGAATTTTTATACTCATGAGTGACTGATTTTGAACATTTACCGTCGTCTTCTGAATTTAAATAAGTTGTAAAACGACTAAGATAATGTCAGAAATATTAAGACTGTAAATATGGTATATAGGATGTTGAACAGAGCAACTTCAAGGCAGAAGGATGGGTGTCTACTCTGTCTATTCACACCCACACCCTCAACATGGATATGAGGTTTATCCTCATCCATATTCACAATCTCAATATGTTTTAAACATCATTTTGTATTTAAATATGATTTTGTTGGGTTCTAATCTCAAATATTGATATTTGTTTAAAAATATGCATTTTTAAATTCTATCTATGAAGACTTTCTCTGATATTTTATGATTAGTTTTAGTAAATGTGAAGTGAAGATAAGTTAACAAATTATAACTTCTGATCTTACTGAAAGCAAAAAGATCGAGCATGTTTATATTTATATTTGTTTGAATAAATTCAAATCACTTCATTTCTTCTTAAAGGAAAATTTTGAGAGCATCCTTTTTTGCAACTTCTACAGCTGTACTTTTATCTAATTTTAAATTCATCAGAATAAAATTAACAGAATTTTGTTTTATTAATACTTTGGAAAATCTAATGGATTATTTTGAAATAATCAAACTCTTCTTTCTCATTCATACAAAACTAAACATTAAATAATTCCTTTGACAAAGTTTTTTTACATTTCATATAAGGCGAAATAATAATCTTTTATAGGTCTTTACTTTTAGCTATTTAGAATCTGCCAGCGTTAAAAGAATTGTTTGTAAAGTTCATCCAAGATATTTGTCAACAAAACTCAACATTGGATAACAGATGTGTGTAGAGGTATCTGAAAAATATTTCTAGATAATAGTCAGATTTATATCAATACATAAAAATTGAACTTTATCTAAATATTTATTAACAACATCTCTCAGTAATACGTTCATTTAAATAAATATTTTGACTGATTGTATTTTTTAATCAAAAACAAATAAGAAAAAAAAGAATAAATCATATAGTTTAATTCTTTACGCTTCGTTGTGTGATTAGAATAAATATTAATACATTTTTAATAGAAAAACATATTTACACAAACATAATGAATACTATCTCGATAGTAAAGTTATAAAATAAACAAAAACTATTAGTTATGAATATATAATATTCCCCTTGCTAACGCATAAAAAAACACGTACATGCGACGTTTATTATAAAGTTAGAAAATACCTAGAAAGAAGTTTAATAATGAACAAAAAAAAGAAAATATAGAATTTTTAGGTGCCTGACTTCTGTATGGTATAACTATTCTATTTATCAGAATAGAAAAATAGCAGCAAAGTTTTTTCAAAGAAAAACAACAAATGGCTTTTGAAAGTCCAAAAATAGCATTCATTGCATGTGGAATATTGGTCATAGTATCCATCTTATATATTACGGCAAATGCTTTACCTATATGGTTCGTAAACTTTTCTTTCGATTCTCTCTGTTAAGAAACCTAAAACAAAGTAAGAGAGAAGATATTCCAGTTACAATCGAGTAAAGGAATACTTGTGAGAAATAATTTCTAGGTCAGATGTTTCTCATTGGATGGTGAAATTAACATTGAATGTTATGTTCTTCTACTTGTTTTATCATCATACAATTCTGATTTCGATAAGATATTGAAATAAAAAGAAACTAAATGAGTGAATTTCAATTGTGAGAGATATTCTTAAAGATTTATTCACATAAAAACTTCGATTTTCGATGAAACTTGATCTTGTATTGAAAAATGTGTATATATTTCTCTATAGTTGAAAGAGGAAGTCTTTTTAGAGAGTAACTTATATAATTTATCATTTAGATTTTCTTGAATTATTTTATGAAATTCTTTTCGAAGTTATTATTTATCGAATAAGAAAATCTATTGATAAAATAATCTTTTGTCTTAGGGTGACGAGATCTGTCGACTCACAGAAACGTACACTCGGTTTGTGGAGAGTATGTGATAAAAATGAAGATATCTCAGAATGTGTCAATTTACCATTGACCATGGATGATACAACTATGGCTACCCGAGCATTTATTACAATATGCTGTATTTTAGCCCCATTATCGTTTATATCAATATTGTCGATTATATTGGTGAATGAAAATCTAAAGAAGCACATGTCTTTACTAGCTAAAGTTCTTGCCATAGCAAGTGCTATTAGTGGAATTATTGGTGTTGGTCTTGGAATTAGTATAGTTGTGGATGCTACTACGCTTGCGGCTGCTATGGAGGTTGAGAATGTTAAGATGGGTGCATCATGTATTTTGGCTATTGTCGCAGTCACACTGAACTTAGTCGGTGCAATTATTACTTTTATGATCAAATAAAACACATCTCTTCTATATTACTCACCAAATAACTATTTTTCTTCTAAACAGCTTTGAAACAAATAATTAGTGCCTTGAAAAATGCTCGTCTTTGTTTAATTATAAAAAAATAAATTTTGATTTCAAAATAAATCATTATTCAGTACAAGAGGATTGAGTTGATGTTACTTTAATTGATTAATAAGATTATGAGCCGAAAAAAAGAAGAATATATTGTAGTAATTAGTATATTTTCTGAAGTTTTCTTTTTGTAAAATATAATTCACTCACCATCGTACTAAGATCATCAATTATGTTACATGAATGTGACTGAATGTATAAGTTAGTTTTTAGAAATATTAAATTATAATCACATCAAATATAAAGTTCGGAATGATTTATTCGTTCAATAGAATATATTCCAAAAACATTTTATTTACTTTTATTTTTCAAATCAACGTTTTACTGATGCTTAAAGAATGTGGATATCGATGTGAATATAGATATGAGCCTTAATGTTTATCCATATTCACAACATCAATATATTTAAAATCTATCTATGAAAACTTTCTCTGATATTTTATGACAGGTTTCAGTAGATAAAAAGTAAAAATAGATTAACAAATTATGGCTTCTGATCGTACCCAAAACAAAAATATCAAGCATATTTATATTTATATTTGTTTGATTAAATCCAAACTATTTCGTTTCTTCTTAAAAGAAAATTTAGTGAGTGTCTTTTTTTCAACTTTCACAGTAAAAACTCAGAAGAACTTCTACATCTGTTCTTTTATCTGATTTCAATTTGATTATAATAAACTTAAGAGAATTTTTAGTATTATCATTTTGAAATGATCAAAATCTTCATCCTCATTCATAGAAAAGTAACTATAAAATAATTCCTTTTGATAAAGTTTTGTTTTTACATCTATTATAAGATGAAGTAATAGTCGTCGATACATCTTTACTTTTAGCTATTTAGAATCTATCAGGGTGTCAAACGGATTATTTTTACAGTTGATCAAAGAAAGCTGTCAACAAAATTCAAGACTTTAGAATAGATCAATACAGAGGTACGTGTAAAACATTTCTAGATAACAGTTAGATGTATCTCAATACATAAAAACTGAATTTAATCTAAACATTTGTTAGTGACATCTCTTAGTAATGCTTTCATTTGAATAAATATTTCACTGATTGTATATTTAATAAAAAAAGAATTAATCACGTAGTTTCATTCTTTACTCTTCGTTGTGCCATAAGAATAAATACTGATTCATATGTAAAAAAAGACAGATTTGCACGAAGACCATGAATGACATTTGGATATTATTCTTATAATATGAGGAGAAATTGTTAGTTATGGATATATAATCTTTTCCTTGCTAACAAATAACAAACATGAACCTGTGATATTTATTATAAAGTTAGAAAATGACTAAGAAAAAGTCTAATAATGAATAGGAAAAAGAAAATGTAGATTTTATTAGATACCTAATTGTTCTACAATATAACTATTTTATTTATTGGAATAGAAACAGAGTAGCAAAAATTCCTCAAAGTAACGCAACAAATGGCTTTTGAAAGTCAAAAAAGAATATATACTGCATGTGGAATATTGTTTACAGTTTCCGTCTTATATATTACGGCTAATGCTTTACCTATATGGTTTGTATACTTCTCTTTCGATTCTCTTTATTACTAAACCAAAAACAAAGTGAGAGAGAAGATATTCAAACCTTTAAAATGATATATTTTAATTGCAATCAAGTGAGGGAATACTTATCAAAAATGATTTATAGGTCAGATGTTCCTTATTGAATGGTGAAATCAGCATTGACTGTCATGTTCAAAGGTTTTAATTTGATTCTGTTATGTTCTTCTACTTCATCTATGGTCTCAGAATTCTGATTTAAATAAAATATTGAAATAAAAGGAACTCAATCTTATATTGGAAAATGGGTACATATTTCTCTATAGCTGAATGAGGAAACATTTCTAGAGAGTGACTTATATTATTTATCTTTTAGGTTGTCTTGAATTATTTTATAAAATTCTTTTCTAAGTTATTATTTATTGATTTAAAATAAATTATCAACAAAATAATCTTTTTGTTTAGGGTAACGGGATCTAATGAGTCAGGCACCAGTTCAGGCGGTTTGTGGAAAGCATGTCAAAAATATAAAGGTTCATCAAAATGTCTCAATGCTGGATCGAAAGTGCTTGACAAAATTATGGCTACACGAGCATTTATTACAATATGTTGTATTTTAGCCCCATTATCGTTTATATCAATATTGTCGATTATATTGGTGAATGAAAATCTGAGGAAGCGTATGTCTCTATTAGCTAAAGTTCTTGCCATAGCAAGTGCTATTAGTGGAATTATTGGTGTTGGTCTTGGAATTAGTAGGGTTGTGGATACTATTAAGTTTACGGCTGCTATGGAGGTTGAGAATGTTAAGATGGGTGTATCATGTATTTTAGCTATTATCGCACTCGCACTAAACTTAGTTGGTGCAGTTATCACCTTTTTGATTAGATGAAAGACATCTCTCCTATATTTCTCACACAAATGACTATTTTTCTTCTAAAAAGCTTTGAAACAAATAACTAATGCCTTGAAAAATGCTTCTCTTTGTTTAATCATGAAAAAATAAATTTTGATTTTAAAATAAATAATCATTAATTCTGATAAAATTTATTTTTCAAGATTATGCTTCAACATTACATCAAATTTCCATAATACTATCAGATATAGGCTATATTTGATGATATACCTAGTAGCAACCTCTAAGACTCCCTATAACCATCTTTTAGTTTGAAATTGAATAGACCATTGTATTGTGATGATGAGTGAATGTAATACATATAAATGTGATGGGACTGACTTGCTGAAAAATTACGAGTTCGAGAAGAATACTGTATCTTCGTCTACCATCACACGTTTAAACTGAATGAAAATGTTATCAAATACTATAAATAATTAAAAAATGAAATATGAAATCAATACGATTTCTCTAACTACTTTCCTAGCAGTTATAGTCAAATATTTTCGTATTTCTTTATTTGAAAATGTTCTAGAACATTCTCGAAAATCAACAAATTATCGGTTCTAGGAACTTTTATAATAGTCTACGAAATTCTTCCAGATAAGTGTCAATGTGTCATTATCGTGTCTTTCTAACGATGAATATGCATTTTAATAAATAAATCGAAATGTATTTCTTATATAACAGATCATATATCATGATATTTGCGAACGATAAAAGTATAAATTCATATTCATCTGTTTATATATTGATATTGACCTTGAATTAAGGATCAACCTTTCATACATCTTAATCGTGGCATTTATCTTTATTTCAATATATAATCGATATCATTTTTTTATGTTATTCTTTTTAACATTGATAAAATCAGTTAATAGAAATTACTATGGGCAATCAGGTATGATTTAGAATTTTTGTTTAATAAAATATATTTTTTTTTGTTTGTCTTTTTATAACTAAGAATAGTATTCAACAAAATATGCAAATTATTGACGAACAAAATCAACCTTTTATTATTGATTTAGATGAAATTGTTGAACAATGGATTTGGCATACATGGAAGAAAACAAAATTATTATCTCGATATAAGTATATATATATATTTCTTATTATGAATTTTTTTTACAAATCTTTTTTTGTTAATTAATTTAGACGCGAAGATCTTCTCATAACAATTAATTGGAAAAATGTTACATTTACACAAAATAATATCGATTTTTCTGATATATCATCTTCATATTTTCCTCGAATACTTAATCGAACAAATTTTGATAATAAAACAACAAATGAACATTTATATAATTTTGAAATAAAACGATCAACATATTCAACATTGAAAATTTTATTTACTCATACTTTACATAAAACACAAGAATCAAATATGATTTTTCATTTACCTCAACAAATTAAACAATTCTATAATGATCTACAAACTGAACAATCAATTCAATTTGGACAGGATACGTAAGTATACGAAAATATTTTTCAAATATTTTATTTATATTCTTGTAATTGATTAGTACAAAAGAATATGAAATTCCTTGGAATTTGAATAGTCAAATACGTGTACCATCTGCGACTCGTATTATTGCAAATTTAAATATTGATGAAGAAGAAATATCTACTAAATTTTGTCTATTGATTCAATTTTCTGGTCGTATTATAGCAACTATTGCAACTCGTCAATCACCTAATATATGTTTAAAATTTATTGTTGGTGATATCGTTCAAATAATATGTAAAGCAATGAAAACAAATCATCGATTGAATACTTTTAAAATTATTGAAAATAATCCTCCTTCAATAGGTTTTCTAATGCGTGGTAAATGTTCATTTCGATATGGTATTAAACAAAATATTGTACTTAATCAAGAATCGTTAGAATTATCATCATCATCAACATCGTCTTGTTCTGATTTTGATATTAAACCATCGGCTCCTTCTGAATACCCTCATTTAATATCAACAGATAGTAGTTTAATCGATTCTAATTTAAAAAATCGTGAACGTTTATAAAAGAACTGACATAAATATTCGTGTTTTTTTATTTATCAAATAAATTCTGTATTAGAAAAGTAGAAACATTGATACATCTGAATACTCTTTATTTTATATACTTGACTCAATTCTATTAAAATATATTATTCATTAGAATTCTTTTTTTTTCCTCTATAACATAAATGACAATATTTATTTTTGGGCGAACTTTTATCATAAAGACTATTATGAAACTATCACAAACGTGTAAACTACACTAGTCATCTGAGTAATGTTGCTTTGTCATTACTGATAGTCATATGATTCAAAAGTACACCTTAATAGATAATGAAAAAAAAAGTGTTAATGATATCATTTGATTAGTTTTTTTTTATCAGTTTACAATGAATATTATTTTGTATCTTAAATGATAATAAAAAATAAAGTATCTTGTTTTTATAGAATATAATTAAAATATGAGAAAAAAAAAAGATTTTAAATACACAATAAAGAAAGACATTAGTTAAATATATTGTGTATTTTATTCGAAAATGAAAACCGTATGTTGATTTTTATCAGTTAAGTCAATATTAAACATGGAAGAACCTATAATTTGATTGTTTCGTGTGTGTTTTTTTTCGAAATAAATATTATGATAAAATTTCATCTTGTTCAGCTTTGAAATAATTTGTTGTATCACTTAAATTATTATCCATTAATAAACTAGACGTCGATTCATTATCTTCATTTATCTCATTAGATTTAAATTTTTTGACCGAATTTTTTAATGCTTGACGTTTATTACAAAACCTATGAAGAAGATTTGTTTTTTTAAAAAAGGAAAATTAAAAATATATATATACCAAACACGTATTACTTCTCGATCATAATTTAGGTCTTGAGCAAGTGATGACATATCGATACCAGATGGATGTGTATTTAATTCAAATGCATCATTTAATTTTTCAAGTGCTTGTGGTGTAAATGATGTACGTCTTTTACGTTTTCGCGTATTAAGATCAGTAACAAGATCTTGTAAATTTGCTGGACCATTTTTCAGTCTATTATTTAAAATACAAAAAAAAGTTTTTTTTTCGAAGATTCTTTTTATTTATTTACCTATCAGCATATTTTAATTCAGCTTCTCGCATCCATTTTTCAAGAACGGGTTTTATTTTTGATGCACTTTTTGGTGTTATATCAAGTTTTTCAAAACGACATATTGCCGATTGACTATAAGCTGGTCCACGAGTAACACTTAAGGCTTGACCAACTTGAGTTTGAGTTAAACCCAGTGCTAATCGACGTAATTTAAATATTCTTGCAAATTGTTTGATTTCTTCTAAATTGATACCGTCAATTGTTGTTGTTTCATCTATAGAAATCATATGATTAAAAAAAATTCGATTAAAATAATCATACTACTATTCATAGGTAATGTAGCAAGTGTTGTTGCAATTGTTGGTGAATTATCATCATCATCTAATGTTGATTTTCCATTTGTATCAGATAAGCTAAAAACATAAAATTCATTAATTAAAAGATCAATTTTTTTTTTTACCTGCAATCAATTGGTACTGATATATTTAAATCATGTTTATGTTTCAAATTTACAGGTGAAATTGATTCGTTTGGTTTATTACTATCGATCAAGGATGATGCTAAAAAGATTAGATGAAACGAATAAAATATTTATGTTTTAGAGACAAAAAAAAACACCATACATAAATTTTGCTGTTGTAAAAAAAGCGCACTATTATGAAGAAGAAATTGCAATGCATTTGCAAGTGGATTAACTGGAGGACAAGTAGCTCCTATAAATTAATTAAATTAAAATAAAAATAGAGATATAAAATCTATTTACCAGAAAGTAAAAATTGAGTAAGAAGTAATTGTTGTTGTTGCTGTTGAGATGTGAGATGAGAAAGAAATGATGAATAAAATGGATTCATATATTCATTTGGTGATGTACAAGAAGCTTGAATTATAATTGAAGAAAAAAAAAATGAAATTATAATAAAAAAAAGAAATTTCAAACAATACCTTCTGATATCTGAGATTTTTCGGAAGCAGTCGGTAGTGTCATATATATATCTATATGTTTTTTATTCTAAAAAAAGAATGAAATTATTTCATCGCTTTTGAAAAATCAAATGTTTATGATTCTCTTTCGCTCTCTTTAATTTAGACTGTTTATGTATTCTTATCGCACGCGCTCGAGAATGTGAAACACACCACACATACTCTATCATTTTAGAGTATAAACGAGTAAGTAAGCAGCATCTCCTCTCGTTGTCTCATTGGTAATTTGATTCCACAATTTTTTTTTTGTTCTTTACTATTTAATGGTAGTAGCTATGCTTTATATTTTATGCGCAAAAACGAAAAGATAGATAGAGGCAACAGCAGCAGCGGCGGTGGAACGAGACAAAATATAAATTGACTTTCGTTGTTTGCTGGTACAGAGAATAAAGTCAAATTCGAACCAGGTGCGAGTTTAATTGTATATATGTGTATGCGCGCGTATATCTATTTCTACACGCATAAGTGAGATTCGCACCCACCCTAATATATAACCATAATAAATAAAGAAAAAGAGAAAAAAAATCTCTAAAGAAACACATAAATTAGAGAAATGAGAAGACTACTGGTCTAAGCTAAAGAAAGAGAGAAAAAAAAAGAGAAAAAGAATAAAAAGCTCATTAATGTTATCTCGACAACAAACTATAAGTACGTACGAAAAAGGAAGATAGAGAGAGAACAAAAATGATGATGATGATGATGATACTGTTTATGCAAATACAAAATTCGCTGCTTCTGTCGCCTTAGATAATTTATGCTAAACGCGCAGTAGTCAACAAGAGAAAAAGAAGAAGAAGACGAAGAAGGAAAGACTCTTATTCACATTGAAAAAAAAACCGACAAGAATGCAAGAAAATATTCACAATTATGCACAATCGACACTATCTTTTGCTGCTTCTATTCTCTATACTTGCCCTGCTTGTCAACGATCGATTCACATATCTTTTCTTTCTTTTCCTCGGGTTCTTTTGTTATGTTTCCAATATGTGCGACTGGAATCAAAAAAAAACGGAAAGAGATAGAAAAAGAATGGAAAAACAATTTCTTTCAATTATGATCATATGATGATAATAATGACGATGAACATCTCTCACGCAACAGAACAAGTTCTACATTTAAATATATATATATAGATATAGATATATGAATTTTCCTTTTTGTTTATATTGATCCGAAAAAAAACCCAAGTTCTAATGAACTAACACTAGAAAAAAATGAGTTTTGCCAAAATCATAATATTTCTCTCTCTCTCTCTATGCATTATAAATCGCTCGCTCTTCCCTGATTATAATAAATCATCATCTCTTTCGGCCGGTCGTCGTCAGAATCATATTAACAGAAAAATCTTTTCTCTTCTCTTCTCTTTCTTTCGTTCATTCAAGAGAAAGAAAAACATTATCACGAAAAAAAAACTTGTGGAGAAGTAGTAAGAGGACTGTTCTATATTTTTCTAGATGTATGTCGATTTTATAATAATGTAGAAGATGCAGCATCGAACAGAATTACTCTGTAAATTAGACAAACATATCTCGATAATAATTCTTATTCATTCACTTAATCGAATGCTTGAGATATAGAAAAAATAAAATTAAATAAGATGTTAGTCAATGTCATCTATTATAATGACTATTTATTAAATACGAAAAGAAAATAAATAAAAGAATTTAAGAACAAATTATTAAATTATATTTTCGGTTCAATAATCTTAAGATATATTGTTTTTATCTATGTTTAACAATATTTTCTACCATTCCCTTATGAATGAGATCAAAGAAAACTTGAATTATCATATTCTATTTATGAAAAAAATCAAACAATTATAATATTAGTCAATCTCTTTTTAATTTTGACATAAATCTTATTCAGAAATTGAATTTGATGTAATTATATTGCTTATTATCTCTTTGAACTATCTGTACATCAATCGAAGAAAGAATTATTACTTTTTTTGTTTCTATTGAAACTAATTTTGATTTATGATTATATGAAAAAAGAATCCAAATATATTTGTATCAAATCCTAGGACATTTACTTTGTTCATATTTTTGCTTTGACTGTTTTTTCTTTGTGACATGTTAAATGCAAATTATGAAAAAAAAACAATGTTTCCAGATGTAAGTAATGTATATATTTATTACTAGTAGGATAGTGAGAAAATATGGAATGATGCCATTAATCAGATTTTTTTCATGCTTCCCTCTATGGAAATAAATCACTATGAAAAGATAAATACAATAAGTAATGATTTATACAGAAAAATCTCTAGTACGATATGCAACGATGAATACTAATAATAAACATGTAAAATGAGAAATATTAAAAACTATTATTCTAATAGTACATTATAGTTTGTACAATAATAATATTTGAAGATCTATTGTCTTTCTTTCCTATGGCTGATAGAGAAAGTTTATAATCAAAAATTTTGCTTAGAATATTAACATAAATCTGTGATATATACAGGAAATATATGAATAGTGTTTACTGAATAAATTATAATGAATCGACAGAATTTTTATCATTGGAAAAAGATCGAGGTGGTATTAACAACCATGGAAAATTATTTTGATACATTTAATCTTTGAGAAATTATGTAATAAACATAGGTTAATCTTCAATTCTTATGTTGTTTAATGAATTTTAATATTTCTTATTAATTTAATCTCTTTGTGTATTTTTTTAATTAATACTATATTATACTGGAAAAACCTTTGATAGAAATTATTTATAAAGAGAAGTATAAAAGTGATAGATCAAACATTATTAAGAAGAGTAAAGATTTATCCAATAGGAGTTGACTTCCACTTTTTTCTATCATTCTCTTTTCTCTTTAGTTTAAACGGCTCTTTTACAACGATCAAATTCAAGTGGTACTTTTAACGATAGAATTCTAGTTCATAACGATGAAATGCAACTATGATTTTATACTCAATAAAAAATAATAATAGGATAGGTTTTTTTTCATTAATACGTTTATTTTCAATTGTAAGTATTGACTCATTATGTGTTGTTAGATATAAATAAAATTAAAAAAATAACACTAGAATATTTTGTATGTCTGTTCTTTTTTTATTTCTTATCAATATTCTATAGACATTTGACAATAAGAAAGAAAGAAAGAAAGAAAGATCTATTTTAATTTCAATTACATTTTTTTTTTATTATTCTTTAGTTGTTGAATAATGTTATTGATCTGTAAAGAAAAAGAATAACAAAATGAAATTTTTTTGTTTGGATTTTTTTAAAGATACAAACAAAAATCATATTTATGGCAATTGCTTGAAATTCAATAAGACATTTCATCCAACAGTTCTATTACATCGAAAATTAGATTAGCTCATTTAATCTGATTTTCTTTAGATTCAGTAGCAGAAAAAAAAAAGAGATACTTGTTCGTGCTATTTATACATGGAAGCTAACATACACGCTAGTGTCTTGTCCTTTGAAAATGATTGTTACAATTTGTACTAAAAAGAGAAAAAAGAGAAATCAATACAGAGACGATAGTAGTCTCTCTCCCTCGCGATTTGTTGTCAAAAAAAGAAAATTAGTGCCTTTAGAATGCTTTATACTATCTGTGCAATAACGGAGATTATTTTTACATTGACGAGAATAACAACTTCATTCGTATAGATATGTTGCCTAACGAGCGACTGAAGCGGATATTCGATGAAGTCGTTCGCAAGCGAATAGATATATAGTAAGAAAATAATTGTAGAAGAAATTACTTCCGTCTTCTTCATGATATTATTATTATTAAATGACTAAATTCTGAATTTACAAGACATTCATCGTGTTTTTTAGATGGAATCTTTTTTTCAACGTATGTCATCAATTGTTCTAAGAAGTAATACAAAAGAAGATATGGACGAAGAAGATAATGAACGGCGACGACATTTCAGACATTTACAAGAACGTCGACGTTCAGCACCGGATATTCGTCGACGTGGTCTTTTAAATGATCGATTAGTTCGAATACCCGATCAAAAAGGTACATCAGAAGAACAAATTCCAATGCATCTTACTGCTGTTACATCATCACCATGGGAAAAACAATTCAATTCTATTCGTAAGTTATTTTACATTTATTCTTTTTTTTTTTGTTGTCAATGAATTATTTAACAATATCTATCTAAAATTAACCTTATATTTCATTATCATACATTCAAAAGAAAAGCATTCTTTTATGATATAAAGATAAAAATAGTAAAATGTCATTCATTTAAATAAAGCATCAATTTTAAAATAACCTGACGTAAACAATTAAATTATCGTATTAGTAAGCTTCATACGTAAATATATTTAGAATATTAAAAAGATATACTTTTTTTTCCGTTAATTTTTTTGAAAGCTTTTACCGTTTTCTTTTTTTTGTATGAATAAATAGTAATGGTAATTCTTTTTTTTCTTCTTTTACAAAACAAAAGAAAAGTATAATATATTAGTTAAGTCAGTTTTCTTTTTCTTTAACAGGTAGTTTTGTGTGTTTAGATTAACCCAAAAAAGCATTTTTAGAAATTTCATTTTTTTTGTCTTTGAATGACCCAACCACAATATTATTTTTTATTCGGAAGTCAAGTATTTTATAGTATACTATCGTTCCTATCAACCTCATTTATTTGTAAGGAATCGTATAAATACCCGGTTGTCAAGATTATTGTAATTTTAGAGCATATAATATGCTTATTAATGATTAGTCTTCTATATAGGTTAAAGAAAAGTGCTATCTCTTATAAGAATAACACGAACTAACAAAAAAAAAACGAGGTGAGAAAGAGAAAGAAGAAGAAATATAGAAAAAAAAATAAAAGTCGAGAGGGTATATATATATATAAACATAATTTAGAGTTTCTCTTGCATGAGTTTAGTTCGTTCTCATCACAATTATCGAGTGTGTTTCCTTTATGATTATTCTTTACTATTCTTTTAAGAATAACATGAGAGAAAGACAGAAAAGAACAAGAGATGAGAAAAAGAAACGTCTAATGAAATAGAATAAAAAGGCATGAGTTTCGTCTATTATTTATTATCGAGACTTAATACCTGTAAGATTAGATCTATCATGTAATCTTATTAGTAATTATATTATTGTACAATTTAATCTTCAAAAGATTATTTTATATTAATGAAGATAATATTGAACAAAAAAAAGAAAGGAAATCGAACCAATATAAATATTTATTATTGAATTGTTTGACATATAAATATGGCTAAATTGGGTTCTTTTTTTCGACGTCTATTTACATCATTTAATACTGATGTCGATTGTCCATCAGCAGCAACAACAACAACATCATCATCAATAACTTATTGTCAAAAAAATGTAATAATTATTCCACCATTAACTCCACCATTAATATCTAAACCAACAATATCATATGTAAATCTACATCCTAGTCGATCATGTTCAACATCACCACGACCACAATATCGTGTAATAACAAAACAAAAAACCTTACATATTGATAGAAATAATAATGGAAATTCGAAATCAAATTTTCTTTCATCAAATACAACTAAATCTACTAATCGTCGTCTTAGTGCTCCTCTTATTATTCATGCATCTACTCATCTTCATCAGAAACATCGATCAGCAATTGTTGATCAAAATATGGAAGAAGCATTGATCTTTCCCTTACAACGTTTATCATTAACATCAACAACAGGAACTTCTGTTCATCATCATCATCATAATAATAGTGTGAATAGTTTAGGTACTAGCGCTGGTTCACCTTGTCCATCACCCCGTTTTGATGTTCATTCATCATCACTCAATTTATCACCATCAAATTCGATTAATATGCCTAGTTCATTTAATAATATTTCACCAGCATCCGGTATGTGTAAGAGAATTTTTGTTTTTACATAGATCTAATCTTGTCAACTGAACAAATATCTAAAATTAAAATCGATTGCTTATTTATTCCTTGTTCTTTTATGAATGTCATAAAATATTCGAACGAAGAAGACAAAATGAATAATCATATGATGATATTTAACATTTAAAAAAAGAACTTCAAAGAATAACAATTATTTTCCGTCGACAAAAAAAGATTAGATATAAAAATCAGAGATGCGGAAATTATAACTGAATGAAAATTAAAAGATGAATAAAAAAAGAACTTACCTTATAATTGTCTTTATTGAAGAATATAATGAAAAAGCTTACAATAAAAAATAAATATTTATAAAAGTGTAGGACGATGATCATATCTCTCAAGCTTTTTTTTTTCATTGATTTGTAAATCTTGACTCGGTGTCAACTTGTCACCAATGAACCTACAGTTTATTATCGTAAGCTTGATTATTTATCAAGAAATGTCATGTATATATATTTATCGTTATTTGCGTGAGTAGAATTAGACAGCAAAATATATTGATAAAGATCGGCACTATATACTATCGTTCTTTTTTTCTTCTTCTGCTTCTCATGTATATAAGCATATGCGTCATTATTTCATTAAATATTAGAGTTCTAGAACGGGAACAACAAATATGAGAAAAAAAAGATCATCATTTTATTTGTCATTACTAATAAAATTTGAGTAATATTCAATCGGACAGAAAATTTTTTTTCTCTTTCTCTCTCTTATTATTATTATTTTATTGATAGGCACACCACCCTCACAATTTGTCGTCGGTCCATCAACAACATCATCACGTGTTAGTATACCATCAAATAATTCAACATCACCAAATACTGGTAGAATAAATAATAATACTTAATAACAAATTTTAAGAACGTTCTTTTATTTAGATAGAAGAATGTCTTTACAAATGCGAGGACGACGACCATCGATGTTTGATCCAATCGATCCAAAAGAATTACAACAAGCATTATATGCTTCGGCAGCTGCTGTAAGTCTAAGATAAATTTATAAATTCTGCTATTATTATCAATTAATTAATAGAAAGCAACTATATCAACAAATCCAACAAATGAAGATGATTTAACTCGAGCATTATCTCATATAACTATTAGTTATGATCGTGATAGTGGACATGTTTCTATTGATACATTAGCATTTGAAAATCTTCATATGCTTGATGGATATATTAATAATAATAATGGTGATTTAATCTCATTCTATTGTCGTTTTCGATTATTACCAGAAAAACGTAGTTTATTTCAAACAAAAATAGTTCGTTTAACACGTCTTCAATCATCTTATTTATTTGATAAAAAGCAATTAAATGAATTTGAATTATCCTATGATCAATTAAATAATCATTCAATAGAAATATTTTTATATAAAATAAGTACAATGAAACCATTATATAAAGATATTCGTTTAGCTACAATTAAATATGATCTTAATGAATTATCTCAGAGTGATCAATGTCGTATGAAAAAATCATTCGATGAATGTGATCCATCAACAATCGTTCAAGTTCGAATATTTTATTTTTTTAATTTCATATAACAATTTGTTTTTTTTTTCCTAGGATCCAGATTTAGGTGAATTACTTATATCATTATCTTATTTACAAAGTGCTGCTAAATTATCTGTTGTTATACTTGGAGCAAAAAATTTACGACCATTAACAATTGAAACAAAATCATATCCAGATGTTTGTGTTAAAGTAACATTATATGATCGAAATAGAAAAAAAATTAAACGTAAAAAAACAAGTGTGCAACGTACTTCTGATTGTCCTACATTTAATGAAGAACTTGTTTTTGAATTACGTCGTGATATTGCATCAGAAGTTACTATTGAAGTACGTCTTGTACATGAATCTTTATCATATAAAGAACAACTTGGTTCCGTTATATTTGGTCCAATTGTGAATAATATGATTAAAGGATTAATATGTGCAGAAAATGTTTATTGGTCAACGGTATTATCGGGTGAATCTCTTAATGCACAATGGCAAATATTGAAACCATCGATAAAAATAGATGAATCAAAGTAATAAAATGATTCTTATATTTTCTTTTGAGATAAAAATGAATGTGTTTATTTTATGTATGTGGTGTTAAGTCATGTTTTATTTCTTTTTTTTCTTTTTTTTTCAAATGAAATGATAATCTTGATGATCTTTATTTTCGATTAAACTATCATATATATGCGAAAGATATAATTGAAGAGTTGTTTAATATATGATTAAATAGTAGATGAAATACAAAGTAATAAAAAAGAATAAGATGTCTCTTACAAAAATTCAAGTATCAATCTGTAATTTTGAATAATCAAAGTGATCAAACAAAAGATAATTATAAGTTAAAACTAATTAAGTCTCTCTGTACTATTTTTAACAGTGGTATATAGACGAGTCTGGATTGTTGGTAGCCAAAGTCAGGAACAAAATTACTATGTATATATATATCTTACAATGATGTAATGCATATTATAAAATGAAAATTCTGTGATTGCAATAATATAATTATATTTTACTTAGTTAATAAATTCTTTTGAAAGCTATATTGTTATGCATCTATTTTTAACAATGTTATGATCTATCAAGAAAATTTTAAAAATATTGCATTAAAGCAAAATTGATACAGACAGCATGTGGTTTATTAAATTGTCGATTGCAGTAGCCATATCCGATCATATATGGAAGCCGTGCGGTATCTTCGCAAATCTTAGTTATTGTGTATACTTAATTTCAAAATATAAAAGTAGACAGTAGCATTAAATCAGTTTCATTAAACACAAGTATTATAAGTAGGGCTAGCCATTTAGTGATTCGAAAGCTTGATAAACATTTAAAATGCTATTTTGTTGTAAAAATAGATAAATATTATAAAATTATGTCAATTTCCTTTTCTTATACATTTAATTCTATATCCTACAGTGTTATCTATCAAACACAAAAATATGGTGATTAAATACTGAGAAATCATTGTAAGACATTCCATTGAAGAGCACCTCTCTTGGTCTGAATCCAAGATCAATAGACTATAAATAAAAATCGTATATTACAAAAAATTATTCGTCAAAAATCATAAATCGTCATATCTTCCATATGCCTGAATTGATTGGTAGCATTAGACCACATGCCCATCGCATATCAATACACATATCGTAACTTTTAGACTCTCTTCATCATACGAGACCTTGTTCTACACTATAACAATACAATCCAATTTCATGTAAGTTGATCTTTTTTGGATTGTTTTATTACACAGCCACTATTTAAGATAATATATTTTTTTCTACTTTTTCATTACTAGGAATACTCTCGTAAAGAATTAGATATGCGAATATGTCTGACGAGGGAACCGCCCCAACTGTCCAGTCGCTTTTCAGTTCGGGTCCTGTGCATAAAGTAGATCCCAATGAGGTATGAAAAACCCCAAAAGGATAGGGGCCGCTAGGCCTTCTATCCCGAGTTATAGGCAATATACTGAAATTTTAGCCTATGACAGGGTATGTAGAAACAAATCGAATGGCAGTATTTCGGCCTGAGATTTTGCCCACAGTGAGGTCTATATGGGACTAGAATACCCTGAATATTTCAGCTAAAAAGAACGTTTCTTTCTCGAGATATTAAAGTCCTAAAAAAAAGAAGATCGTGGGATATATGTGATTTTTTGAGACTTTAATATCTCGAGAAAGAAACGTTCTTTTTAGCTGAAATATTCAGGGTATTCTAGTCTCATATAGACCCCACTATGGGCAAAATCTCAGGTCGAAATACTGCCATTCGATTTATTTCTACATACCCTGCCATAGGCTAAAATTTCAGTATATTGCCTATAACTCGGGACACAAGACCAAGCGGCCCTTATCCTTTTGGGGTTTTTCATACCTCATTGGGATCTACTTTATGCACAGGACCCGAACTGAAAAGCGATTGGACAGTTGGGGCGGTTCCCTCGTGAGTAGGTCATTCATATACATACATAAGTATGTGTGATACCTTATCAGTCGGCTTTGTCCATTACGTTTTTATTATTTATAAAGTTGTTCTCTGTACGCAGCGCGCGAGCAACTAAAAAAATGGATTGATCCAAACATAAGTGAATAACACATTCTTTTATTTATTTATCATCTATTCTTTGTAATATTTTTTTTACAACTTCAATACTTTCTTTCACACTTTTGATAAGAGGATAAGTTGGGGATAATGTACGCTGACATATGTCCATAGCACGTTCATAATATGAAAGTGCTTCCGAATAGTCTTTCATATTATAATACATCAAACCGATGTTATTGTATGACTGTGCCAAACCAGGATGATTTGTAGGAAGAGTGTTTTGATAGATTTCAATTACTTTTTCGTAATATGAAAGTGCTTTCGAATATTTCCCCATTCTTTCATACACGCTACCGATGTTGTTGTATGAAGTAGCAAAATCAGGATGATTTGAAGGACGAGTTTCTTGTTGAATTTCAAATCCTTTTTCAAAATATAAAAGTGCTTTCGAATACTCTTCCGCCTTATGATATACCAAACCGACGTTGGCGTATAAAGTAGCCAATAAAGAATGATTTGAAGGTAGAGCTTTTTGACAAATTTTAATTGTTTTTTCGTGTGACGAAAGTGCTTTTGAGTACTCTCCCATCTTGTCATACACATTACCGATATTGTTGTATGAATTAGCCAAATCAAGATGATTTGAAGGAAGATTCTTTTGTTGAATTTCAAGTGCTTTTTCGTAGTATAAAAGTGCTTTCGAGTACTCTCCCATATTCTCACACACACTGCCGATATTGCTGTATGAAGTAGCCAATGTAGGATGATTTGAAGGAACAGTTTTTTCTTGAATTTCACGTGCTTTTTCGAAATATGAAACTGCTTTCGAGTACTCTTCCATCTTTGTATACACACAACCGATGTTGTTGTATGAAGTAGCCAAATCAGGATGATTTGAAGGAAGAGTCTTTTCCCGAATTTCAAGTGCTTGTTTGTAAAATGAAAGCGCTTTCAAGTGCGCTCCCATCTTTTCATACACACTGCCGATATTGCTGTATGAAGTAGCCAATGAAGGATGATTTGAAAGAAGTGGTTTTTCAAAGATTTCAACTGTTTTTTCGTAATATGAAAGTGCTTTTGAGTAGTCTCCAGTATTCTCATACACATTACCGATATTGTTGTATGAAGTAGCCAATGAAGGATGATTTGAAGGAAGAGTCTTTTCCCGAATTTCAAGTGCTTTTTCGT